GATCATAAGCCATGTTGTGGTCGCCGGCAATATACTGGCCGCTCCATTTTGAATAATACAGTGTTTCACAATCCCGAGCTCTGTAATTAGCAGCATTTACATCAGTCATTAATGTCTAGTCTTTGCGTCGCACCATTGGTTTGTGTTGTATGCGTGCATGCCTGCGTTTACATTTTGGGTACGCTGTTGGAAAATAGAAACTAACGTGCGCTTCTACATATGTTAGCCTGGCGGTGATTAGCTGTCAGACTGAACTATTCTGCATCGTTGAACCGTGGGAAGTCTGATCAATCTGTCTTTCTCGGGCGGTGAAGATGACGAACGGAAAGGTCTTATAACGTATATTCCATGTTGATGAAATCTACGTGCTTACAATATCTTTTGGGTTCACTATTTAATTAGGAATTTGTAAGCCCATTTAATTCCCCTACCACGTATATCGGTTTGAGAAGAAACACTCTCCAGCTAGTCGGGCGCGGTAAAAATGTCGACATGACTGCCGGGTCTACCATAAACGAATATATAAGGTTCAGATTGATAGCCCATTTCATCAATGCGAGCACAAAGAGAACACCGGTCGGAGCCAACCAACAAAAGCTCCACGGAATCGCAAAGCATGGCGAGCGTCCACAGCCCCGTGAAATCAGTAAGCCGCACCACAGCCATTCTTCAAAACAAGTCGGCGGCGCGCTATCTGGCACGCGATCGTCGACTTGTCGGCGCGTCCGCATGACGGGGCCGTCACAAGCCTCAGTAGGCCATTCGTCAGCCGACTGTGGGGGCGTCCCTCGGTGACCCGGGAAGCCGGCCGGCGGCGCCGCGCAAACAGCTGCGCCCCGGGGACCGGCCCCGTCCTCGGTCGTGACGAGCGTGGCCGGAGTCACGTGACAGGTGTGACGGACGCGCGCCGGCAGCGTGACGACTCGCGGGCCACGTTTCCGCCCGGCCGAGCCGCTGAAGGGAACGGCCGGTGACAGCCGGCTGTTAGCAGCATGTCGCGATGGGCCGAGCCTTTGTCGGAGGAGGTGGGGTTGAAATGGGTGGTTTATGGTTGATGGAGGATGGTAAGGGACGGCTGGACGGGAATCGATGCATTGCAAGCGTTGCGTGGCCAGAATAACGGACGACCAAAGCGATGGATTTTCAGAAGATGGCCGAACAGCAGGATGGCGTCGGCACGCTGCGGCGAGTGATTTTCAGATGATTGGATATTAAAGAAAGAATGCAGTATTTTGGGCCGACGTCTCACTGATACACATACGTACCGAGATTGCGGGATGATTACTTGGAACACCAAGTCAGTGCATAAATTTTTTCTTCGGATCTCGGATGTTCCATTGAGGATTGTCAAGATAATCAAAAATATTCTTCCATATCGATTGGCCCATCGTTAATCCAAAACATTTCATGTTGAATCAAGATGTCTCGATAGCGCCCACCTGCGGCCAAACAGTTTCTTCAGTCATTGTTTTTAAATAATTCTCCAAGCTTGTTTTCCCAGTAAGCATGCAGCTAATTGGCCGAAGCCCTGTCCGGGAAGTGCGCTCTTTGCCGTTCTGAACGCAAGGTGTGACGCAGTCAACATGAGTGACGTCACGGTTATTCCTGGGAGTAGCTTGCGCGGTCGAACACAAGTTGCTTTCGAAGCTGTCTAGCCGCAGTTTAACGATGGATGGGAAGGTACTGCACATGGCCCTGCACGTTTGTAGCTCACCGTGACAAACTGGCATAAAATCCTTGTTTTCCAAAGTTACAAAGCTGAGTAAAGTTGACCTCGATATCCTCTCTGTGCTTTTGCCGCACAACAATATTTTTTTTAAAGCACAGGGCGCGCTGAGTCTCAATGTGGAATAGTAAACAGCTCTTCGTTCAAGTCGTTTTGTTTCTGCAACATCCAGAGGCGAACATGTCAACAGAAGTGCGTATTATGTGTACACCCAGCCCCAAAACATCGCCTCCAAAATCGGCGTTTGCGATTGGTCCAGCTCGTCGCCAGCCGCTGGTAGCAGAGTAAAACGGCTATTCGAACCCAGCCCCGGACTACTTAAACATGTGTTCTGTGCACACTGATGATCGAGGCCATTTTTGAAGTGAGGTGTACTTTGCAGCAATGATCACCTGTTTTAGACTTAAATGTAATCATGACTTGCTTCCTGATGCTTGGCGCAATCCAGGTGCAGGTTCCAATATCCACGCTAATAGCTTGTCCCGTGCATTTATTTTATATCGCGTTCTTCATAACCACCTTATTGGGTTACATATAAGCATATAACGACTGTGACGTCCTGGGAAAAACCTCGCGGACAGCGTCGATGAAGATGCTAATGGGAAAGAGAAGCTGTGATGGCATCAGACTCGGATACCGACTGGACTGTCGGACGATGTCAGATCACCTGGGAATCACCAATAGCCCGGATGCACGGATGTCATGAACGTTCTAGCACTATGAACGTTCTAGCACACAGATGGCGTCGCGCGTGCCTGCACGAAAAGTGCATGCAACAGTGCGAGGAGGAAGCTCTTTTGATCGGTCTGTCTGAGCTTCAATGGCAAAACCCCGGCGTTCCCGGGAGAGGCACTGTGCGCTTTCACTGCCTGCGCAAATAAACCAGTTACGCGCGCCCCATCGGCATTAGCGGCCGGCCCAGGGACCCATTATCGAGCACCGCGTCCAGTGCCGGGCTGTTTGCTGGCGAGCCAAAATGCAGCTGAGGTTCGCTGGCGGTGGCGGCGGCTGATTTAGCCGAGTTGCGAAAACCGGGCGCGAGCCGACCACACGGATATTGAAGACATTGTCTCTCTCATCAGTGGGAGTGCTGGACATAGTTTCAGGAGATGAAGCTTGGGGCGGCGCGAGTGTGTGCGCTATGTGCTTGTGTGCTTATTACGAAGGCGCATTGTCGGTATCCACACTGGTGGAGATAGGTTAAAAGATTGAGTGCTACAGTCACTTGTGCGGGTGTTTTTAGAGAGTAAATGTCAAGGTTGAGCTTATTTTGCCGATAGTTTGTGTCTCTGCCATGATGTCACGCCGTTTTCTCTACCAGTTGCTGGGCCTGCGTAAAGGACAGTGTGTGTCGTGCCAGGTCAAATTAGTCGTGCAAATCCAATTACCGATTTTTTTCTTAAGCCTTCACTAGTACTTGGACCACGCTCCCTTTCGCTGCAGGCGGCTGATGCGGGCGATACAGCTTTCTCACAACTGCCGCAGCTCAGCGATGCCCCTCAGCCCGGTCTGGCTGAGGAGATCTCTGCCGTACCACTACTCTCAGACGCCACCTGGTTGAAGGCCTGCCGGAGGTTGACCGGTTCGTTCCGCTTGGCTGCCCGCTGTCCCCGGTTTTGGATTAGGTCCAGCTGCTCGGGTGCGTCCTCCCAGGCTCTGCTCCACCGTTTCCGGAGCTCCATAGCTGCCAGGAGGAGGTACCGAGCCTTCTTCTCGGCATGGTCCCGGCCGATCTGCTCTCGGCTCCAGAGACACTCATCAAAGTTCCTCCTGAGGACCACAGTCTCGCGTTCCTGCGAGGACGGTCCTCCTTTTGGGTTGGACCCTTGGGAGGGCCTTCTTTTCGTCCTCATACGCGAGACGGCGTCCATGATATTAAGCTTCGAGGTGGGCCAGAAGAGGGAATTGACCTGCTGATGGCTTTCGGGGGTTTTGACCACCAGGCTCAGATGGGGCGCCCTTCTAATTCGAGATATCCTTCAAGTGCTCGACCTATGCCTGGATGCCTGGCCGGTTCAGGCTGTTCGCCTGAGGGGGCCCAACCACTTGCTAGGCTCATCGGATGGAGGTTCTCTGGATCCGTGAAAGACCGGAAGCATCTGGACTTTGAGCACGCGGAAGACGGCCGGCAACTTCTGTAGTCTGGGGTCCGCTATGGCGTCGGCAAGCTCGGACTCCTTCAACCGCTCTGGGTTGACCCCTTCCCGGTCGATGGCCACCACTCGTCCGTTCAGCGCCACCACTTCCCCTGAATGTCCGCCATCGCTTCCGCTAGCTCCTCCGATCTCCCCCGATACTCGCTCCAATCTGGGACTTTCAGGTCAATGGCGGTGTAATTGGCGTTGACACGACGGATTATTTGGTCCGTCACTTGGCTCCCTACTGAGTACCCGAACCTCAGAAGGCACGCCGCGGCGGACACCACCCCCGTGCGAAAGACTTGCACCTGTTCCTGGTCCGTGTCGGAAGCTGCGGGGTCCGCCTCCCCGGGACTCCCCGCAGGCACCTTGCTCGGAAGACTCGAGAGCGAGGTTCACCCGGGTCCATGAAAACGGCGACACCACTGTGGAGGCCACCCGCGTGATCCCCGTGAACAGGTTCAGTTTGTAAACCTTCGGAAGCTCGTAGGCGGGGGGGGGGGGGGGGATGGGCTCAGATGACGAGCCGGGAGTTTGTCCAGTTGAGCCAGCGGCCGCTCTTGAACCACCTTCTGTACCTTAGTCAGGGGGAAAGATCGGTCAGCCAGAGAACCGGGGGCGGTCGTCAAAACAGGGTCCGCGAGGCAATGCTTCGGGATGGCTGAAATTCCTGCACAGGCGCGAACGCCGCAGCTTGCATTCCACTGCACCATGCCCCGGCACCCCAGGGGTACAGCGTGTCTGGGAGGTTGTGCTCTCCCACAGTCTCTATGTGGTGACGGTGAGGGGCAGCGTTAGAGTGTGAGGCAGCTCCACAGCGCTCACTGAGAGTGACGGCTCATCCGCCACAGCTGAACCCCAGGCGGCCTGTTCCGGGGTGTCCCTCTTCAAGATGCGGAGCTGATCCCTGAACTGGCTGTCTTCTACCGTGGGATACCCGTAGTTTCCTCCCTAATGGCTCATGATATGTCATGAAACCGTCTTTTTGCTATCATGTTAATGCAAAAACAAACTTGACATGGTCTAATCTTGACACGATTAGGCGCTGTTAATCAGCGTGTGCTCGGAATGGTACGAATATTTCCGCATCTGCTTTCATTTCTGTGCATACTGGCTGTTCGATATCGATACAGACGTTGCTTTAAACAACTTGTTTATTTGTACAAAAACTTTATCCTGATACACCCACAGCAGCCTCCCATCAATCTACGTCACATTTAGAGCGGCGAGTTCAGAACAAAAAGAACGTTTGCTGCGCAGTCTCCATGCGTTCGTTTTTTATATTTGAACAGACATCCAATCAGCACGTGGCAAGAAACAATGCTTTGCTCAACGAGCTCAACAACTGACAGGATCGTGAACCATAGCTGGTTTGAACTGAACGCTGATCCCGAACACAACATAGCAGGCAGGTTTGCCGGACGAAACTGCGGTATTTCTGCCCTTGCGTGCAACACATTCGTTCTCATCAGCATGCTGAACGTAGTGCGACGAGTTCATCAATAAGCTTTTGATGTGTATTTCGTTATGCACGTCAACTGCGGATGGATCTGACAGTTGCGCCCCAACAAACAGCCGCAATCAGGCCACCCATAGTTTGTACCATGCCTGTATGCCGGGAAAGGTTATGAACATTCAGAGGTGATTTTCAGAACCGATATGCTCACTAAGCAGCTGGGAAACGTAAAACTTCCGACTAAGACTGCAGATTGGTGTGTCGGTTGCATACGAATGTTCAACCTACCGCCATAAAACCCTGCTTCAAAACAAGACACTAAAACATTGCCAGTGCTGGGTACACATTAACAGAATAGCACTAGTATAACAGTAAATTATTTTTTAACCAAGCGCTCATACATACTATTGTACGTAACACGTGTAACGTACATTATGCCGCCACCTTTGCCACCGATAGACACTTGCATTGGAACTTGCATTGCCTGGATACTTCTCCAGCGACGAATCTAGCATGTACACAGATGCCATTCTTTTGACAATGATTCCTTACCTACGTCATGTACATCAATCGTTACGATAGCATTGCACCTTACTGAAGTGCTCCTCTGGCACTTTTACATTTTAGATTCACGCGATCTGTCCGATTAAAATGGCTTCCTTGAAGAGGACATTAGTTAAATTTTCTAGTCGATGGATACGTTCGGCGATTTCTGGCGGTTCAGAAAATATATGATGCATTGCTTTCGACTGCGTCGAAAGACGCAGTGGTGGTACCAAATGGTGCCATGGTGCCGTGTTAGAATGAATGGTACCGGACGCCAAACGTATAACTTGTGGTACTGATCATGGGCGCCGCGTAGGTCAAGCTTGCACTTAGTCACACAAAACACCAGTAAACACGCTCACAATCAAACTATGACGGAAAGTGAAGTCTAGTCAGAAAACAATATTGATTTAATACCGAATGACCTTCAGCTCCTCCACAGCATTGTTAAATCTAAGTTCTTATGTTGAGTTAATGACTTCGATATACCAGGAGGTAATGAGTAAACAACGTTGCAGTGCTTTATGCTAACGTGGTGTTACCGAGTAGTTTTGACTTAGTATATGTACATGGCGTGTGAACGCTGCAGTGTATGGACGTTGGCGCGTTATGCAGCACTACCTCATTTAACCAGTACCTCTTGTGTACTGAAGGTCGTTAACCGAGCATAAGAACCTTTCAGCTCATATGTCATATGACATATTCTCATAGTTTCGTCAGCAAAGTTTTTAAACAACCGCCTCAGTCAGACCTATACATCGCCAAACTTGGTACGCCGCGCGTGAATCCGTCAACCCCACAAGAAGGCAGGTCGACTTACCACGGCTAACGGCTACCTACCCTGCCATGGCAGAAACGACGGCAGGAGATGCTTCAGAGGCGTGGCAAGGTGCGGCACGCCGCCGCCCCTCCTGATGCCGGTCACCGGCAGATGCCTCCACAGGAGCTGAGCCCTGACACAGTCAACCCATCGCCAACACGGGATGGTCGCTTCAAGAACCTCTAGCCCGATTCAGATCCTGCGGAGGGTTGGGCTAGTGGTGCTGCGACAGTCGACTGCTCCGTAAGCGGGCAGACCACAGGCAATCTACGCGAGCAGACTTGTGCAGTCGCAGCACACTGTCCATTGCACAGCCCATGTGAGCTGGAAGTAGCCCAGAAACGTCAGCGTGCGCTTCCGGACTTCTCAGGACACCTTCAACACCCCTTTCGCGTCCCCTGTGTCGCCGTTGCGCTGCGTCCGGCATCCAGCGTTACCTGCGCCGCCTCCTCCACTCCGGCCGCCTACTCGCGCCCGGCCTCCCCTCTAGCGGCCGCGTCGGCAGGCTCCGCTTCGGCCATCTCCCGCTCGGCCATGTCTCGCAGCTGGCGACGCAGCGTCTTGCCGGCGGCGTTCTTCGGAATGGAGTCCACCACGCGGACGCCGCCACGCAGCTGGTAGTGCGGGCTGACCTGGCCGTTTACGAATGCGGCCAGCTCGTCTTCGGCCACGCCCGACCGGCGGAGCACGATGTAGGCGCGCGGCAGCTCGCCCGCCTCCTCGTCTGGCACGCCGACCACAGCCGCGTCGGCCACGCAGTCGTGCTGGCGGAGCAGGTCCTCCAGGACGGCCGGCGCCACCTGCGGCACGCGCCCCGGACCGTGACATGGCGTCAACACACGGGAGACCCGAGGAGATCCGACAGTCAGACGGTCAGAAGCTGCGCTGTTCGGTTAGGCGGAGACGTCGCAGTGCCGTAGACGTCCAGAGGCCACGAAACGTCGCCCGCTCGCCGAAAACGGTAGCACACGGCATATCTATAGGAGAGGCACCAATAACGATCCGGCAGTAATTAGGACCTGCTGGCCACTTGCCTGGAATCCCTTATATTTGATCAGCTCCTTGACGCGGTCGACGATGTAGATGGCGCCCTGTTCGTCATAGTAGCCGACGTCACCGGTGTGAAGCCAGCCGTCGGCGTCGATCGTGGCCGCCGTCGCCTCAGGGTTCCTGTAGTACCCCTTCATCACCTGCGGACACGAACTGTGACGTCAGTAAACGTTTTTTGCACATCAAGGTTCGGCATTGCTTGGCCTGCAAGCGTGGGAACAAAATATCCTGGCACTTGTTCTAGTTCCTCCACTTCGCCTCTTACCCCGGCCCTCCCTCCTCCCTCTCACCTGTGGCCCCCGGACGCACAGCTCCCCGCGCTCTCCCTGCTCCAGCTCGCGTCCATCTTCGACCGAGACGCACTTGAGCTCAGTGTTGGGCAACAGCACGCCGCACGATCCGTGCACGGTGCCCATCTGGCGGGAGCTCATGCTGACCACCGGTGACGTCTCCGTCATGCCGTACCCTGCCGGAAAGCGACGCCAAGCCGCTAATCACGGCGCCGCGCAACGCGGACAGTTCCCGACTGTTCTAACGCATTGAGGCGGCGGGAATACCAACAGCACGGGCTGCTGCACGCCCTGACCGATCTGGGTCCGTCGGCGGCTCTGCATTGGGCGCCGGACCAGGCCAGTGTTAACGGCGACAAGGTCTCGTACCACGCCGCCGTAGAAGCTGTACTTGAACGCCAAGCGACCGCTTCAATCGATTCACACAGACAACATATAGGCGACGCGACGCGGGAGGCCGGCGCTCTTCCCAGCTGCAGACTCCATGCAAGCTTTCTGTCAGCTCCCAGCTCTCCCAGCTGCAGTGCGGCCACTCAGGATAAACAATGTCCGCGAAACCCGCCTGGCGGGGGAGACCCCTGCCTGGTGTGCGGGGGTCTGACAGGGCCGGGTATCCGTCTACGGACCGTTCGAACTTCACCACGCCCAGGGGCTGGCTTCATTACTCAACATCGTACCAAGCGAGTCGGCCGGCAAGAGGGTGGACTTCCTTCGACGGGCAGGATCAAGGCACATCAAGACATCAAGACAAGACACAAGACATCAAGATCAAGACATTCGCACGCAGCCTGACGTGGAGTCGTTGACGCATCCAGGCCCATCGCACAGCGTCTGGTGCGCGCCTCACCTTCAATGAACAGGAATTTGCCCTGGGTCTTGTCGTAGGTGCGCTTGATGAGCGTCTCGCCGAGCGGCGCCGCGCCGCAGAAGAGCACCTTGAGCGAGTCGAGCGTGGTGTGGTCCACGTCCGGACTGTTGGCCAGGAACGTGATGAGCGGCGGCACCAGGTGCAGGGCCGTCGGCTGTCGGCGGAACGGCGCCCGATGTCAGACCGCGAGCCGTGCCCGGATGGAGCGGTCAGCAACAGAGTCGCAGCCATAGGCGGGGGGGAGGGGGAGGGGGTCTTTTGGAGCCACGTCCACTCCTGAAGTGGTGGTGGGGTTCCTGGGGGCGATGACCCAGCCTTTTTCAGCCGTTTAGGACGCTTTTAATGCCTTGAAAACCTATAAAAACGGACTGACAGGCATCATAATAGGGTCATACTTGAAGCAATTCTTGGAATCCAAAAAGCCGAATACAAAAAAGTGGGAGGTGGTAAAAAGAAAATCGAAAAGTGTCCTTATAGCGTGGAGAAAAGGACTCTCTTGGCCAAACGAGCACCTACGACCCGATTTCGCCCCCTGTTCAGCTGAGTAATGGTCGCGCCGCTGGTTACCAGCTGCTGCGCTGGACATACACGGCTTGGCGGGAACAGAAACGCTACCTTAGCTAAGCGGCATAGCATAGGCGACGCGCCTAGTTTAGTGGCACTAAGTCGCCTGTAACTTAGACAGAAAAAACTCGAAATGCAACAATATGATGTCATTGTGCACACAACAGCGCACTGCAATGCAATGCAACACATAACATGCATGGCGATTGGTGAAGCCGTCGGCCATTGCGTGCACCTAAGCCTACGGCACGGCAGCATCCGCATACGATGACAGAGCCCGCATAGCCCGCTACCTCGCCCGTCGGCCGCCGTCCTGCATCAGCTGACCTTGTACTTGCGGATGGCGTCCAAGAACAGCTCCGGGGCGAACCGGGGCAGCAGCACGGTGGGCGCTCCCACCAGCAGCGACTTGAACGTGTACAAGAACATGCCGAACGTGTGGAACATCGGCAGCACGGCTAGGAAGCGCTCCTTGCCTGCAGAAATTGGGGCCCGTTGGAGTACGACACTTCCCCCATGCATCACGGTTACGCGTTATGTCCCAAAACGTTGATAGTTTCGGCAGAGGCGCAGCGCAGGTTCTGACCCCCACGCAACGCCGTTTGACGCCACAGGAAACATTAAGAGCAACTTATGACGCCCCTCGCCCAGGTCAAAAACTTGGCTTCACGGCTCGGATCTCGTGCGTCACCACCGTGACTGACGTTGACGCACGGAATCCGAAATCTTGCTACGCACCGCCAGCGGGATCCATGACCACAAAGGATGCCGACCTCAGTGTGCGCGCGATGCCAGTGCCGCGGGCGGGAACCGGTCCCCCTCGCACGTACCCGGCTCCTCCCAGTGGAAATCTTCCGAGATGACCTGCAGCAGGTTGGAGCCCAGACAGTAGTTGGTCTGCACCACGCCCTTGGGCAGCCCTGTGGTGCCGCTGGAGAAGAGCAGCAGCACCGGGTCGTTCTTCATGTCGATGTCGAGGGTGGGTGTGACCTCTCGGCCGAGGCGCAGCAGCTCGTTGAAGCTGAGCACGCCCTCTGGTGGCCCGTCGTCGCCCGTGGCAATCACCTCGCGCACGGCCGGCACCCTGGCGGCGGCGGCGCGAGCCACGGGCAGTAGGAGCGGGTGCGCCACCACGGCCCGCGCTCCTGATATCTCGAGTTGGCGGGTCATGTCATCTGCGGAGAGGGGTGGGGCGTCAGACGGTGACAGCTAATAAGGCGTGACGCAGACGCGCGCCAGCGCCACGGCCACGGGACCTGGAGGGGCACAGGCACTGGATACCAGCCAAGAGCGTCAATATTGTTGCGCTGTAAACTTGGTGCCGTCAGCTGTCAAACCGCTACTATTTCAGGCAACTGCGAAGTGTAGGGACGCGGATGTTGAGGGTTTAGAGCTAAACAAGAATGCCACATCATAGCAGCCAGGTGCCTTAATCTCAGTCGACTGTAAGCCCCACTTTTGCATCCCCAATCCTCAGATCACATTCCGTGACTTTACCATAGTGTTTTCCCACAGTGTTTTAATCCTTTGGTTTTTACATGGATGACTCGTCTCCTCGCCGTGACCGACCTAGTCGAGGATTCCTAGAAACGAGGTGAGATAGGGACAAATAAAAATAATTCGCCTCGACTCGCATTCGTGTAGTCAGCAAGCTCCAGGCGACACCCGGCCGTACCAGCTGGACATCAGCGTGGGCATCAGGCCGCCCGAGGGATCAATTATTGGACGCGTTCAAGCGAGGGGCCACACGCCAGGCCAGTATCCTAATCCTCCAGAAACAGTAAAATCCTCCAGAAATATTACAATCTTCAAAATAGTGAAATCGCCAGACGTCAGTGGCCAATGTACGATGCAGCGGTGTAATGGTTTGCTGAAACGTAACACCAAACAATTGACGTGACGCATTTGGTGTGGCGTGATGCATGGCGATGCAAGGCAAATTATTATAATACCACATTATCCCCACAAAAGCGTAATCATACCCAAGCACTATACAACCTGAATGAAATATCGCATATTCTTGCGAGGGCATTGTGTGATGCTGACCGATGGTGTCATAGGCAACCTAGACACAATGCGACAGGTGCAAATAAGCTGCTGCGGAACAAAGAAAACACTTGCGTAGAGGTATAGCAGATAGCCATAGCTCAAGGGCGTCGATTCATGACCAGTGGCTTTGTATGTACAGCAGGAAACAAATCCTGGCGATCAACTCCTGCAGTATCTGGCAGGCTTATGATACGGGTTTCAGGATCGGCTCTGATATCACGTCCGACCACTCGCGGAGATGATATCAGCTTAAGGTGCGCACTTACAGCTGAGGGATTGAGATGGGCATGACATGCATTTGTATAACAAGGACGTGTTCAAACAGTGATCTGCGCCGACGCAACGCTAATCTGGTGATATGCCTACTCGTGGATGGCATGGGAGAGCGCTTTGCCAATGCGTCATACGAACTTCCTCGAACGCGTAGGCCCATTGCAATCAGTTCACGTTTCACTCGCAGTGGTAAAAATTGCACTCACCTTCGCCCTGCTACGACTTTTTAATGACGCCAACAGGATGGGGAATGGTAGAGGACCCTGTCGTTTCCCGCCGACAAAGACAGAACCTCACGTAAAAAGTGGATTGGTCCCAACGAGATCTCGCAGTTGATAATGAGCGCTATGCTGCTCAATAACGGGCTCTATTTTTCCAAGTCCAAGGATTTTTCTTCTGATTTATTATTATGATCAGTTACTTCTAAATTCTTCCATTTCAGCTTTACGTGCCAGTACGAGCGAAACCATACCACAGAGCAGCATGCAACTTACACAGACGTGCTCCCTGTCCATTTATGAGCACAACGAACTGCATTCATGTGGGTTCTGAGCGCATATACATCAAGTAGTACCCCGTTAATGTGGCAGTGTCGGCCTGCCGCGCGCGATCAGCGGATTCGCCGGTGGCCGTCTGTCTCCAGGCGGGATGTCCACCGCCGCGCAGTGTTCCCAAACAACCGCCAGTGCTCGAAGATCACAAAGTTTTGGTGTCAAAACGCGTACAATGCATTCCCCATAGGCTGCTGAAACTTTGGGGGTGGCTATAGATCGAGTTGGGGGTTGCATTCTCCCTCCCTTCCCCCCCCCCCCGCCATAAGGGCGAGGGTTAAGGACAGGTGATTGTGAACGGCTTATTTGCCACACAAGAAACAAAACAGCAAGCAGGTATAAGCATTACTACTGCAACCGATGTGTGAACCGAAAATGGGGCTGGTGGATTTTACACGCGCTGCCTGCGTATTGCCATTTCTGATTCCGTGCATTCAGCATTGTCGCAGAATATGCGGCAGCGCCACTTGGAAGATACCATACGGACACACCTACGCCCAATCCCTTCAGTATCTGTTGTCGTACGACAAACATGCACTGGTAAAGTTCGCAAGGTGCAATGAACCTTGAGATCTGCTTTCGTGATCAGTCCTTTGTGCATGCCAGTGTGTAGCTCTGTAGCTGCACGACCTAGACACTCCAGTAGAAACGTAACGTGTTCTAAACTTGATGAAGATGCAAATGCAAGTTTCCGAGGTCCATGTTTCAAGGTTTATTATTCAACAGTCACGCATGAATCAGCCAAAACTAAGCACTTTCATGCGAAAGTGTTACAAACAAACCGACACAAGTTTTTGGCCGTGTGGCCGACCCAAGGGCGCAGTTTCGCAAGATGAGTTAGGGGAGGGGGGCAATAAAAATGACATAACCTGCCTTCCAAAATGCGCTAACAGTTGGGTTTCTCCGCGCTTTGGTCCACTTTCCTCTCAAAGTTGGGGGTCTTGGATCCAATGAGCGGGAGGGGGGCTGGGCTGAAGCTACCCCTTCCGAGTGGAAAGCTACCCCTGGTACGGCTGTCACATCTCTGCTTTCGGCGTTCTTTCACTTAACCTCCGCCATGATTCGCCGTTTTCACCGCACATATACACACATAACACACACATAACGCGAAAGTGAGGTGGATGTGACCCTCTGTCGTTTCCAAATTAAGAAAGCCAGAGCCTCGCAGAAAAAAACGTCATAGCTTTTTCAAAGAGATATCGCGATTGGTAATGCATCCTAAGTTTTCAATGCAATAAATGACTCACTAGACCTCACCTGATTCGGACCAGATGCCTGATCTAGCATCTCTAGCATTATTTTTGTGTGCAAATCGGACTATTCCAGCATTACATGCGAATATTTGCGGAACCGTACGACCTAGCAACATAAGACCCACACAGACTGTTTCGTGTTTAATTCCGAGCATATGCCAATGTAGTTCTGCAAGTTTTTAGCACCTACTTATGGTACACAAACCTTACGCCTCAGTTACAAGAAGCGTCGTCCCGGCCCCGCGCGCGGTCGGCAGATTCGCGGTTTGCCGCCCGCGCCGGCAGGGGATCGCCGTACAGCACTCCTAAAAATCGTCGACACTCGGAAACCAGGAGTACTAGAGGCTGGAGACAAGTTGTTGCCGCCAAACACGCGCAATGAATGCCCCAGGGACAACGGAAAATAATGACGCGGTGACCCGACATGCCGGAGATATATCCTCAGAACGCACTCAAGAGAAGCCGCAGAGCACCCCCCCCCCCCCCCCCCCGTCTCCTATCTGGGCAAGGGCGAATATTATATAACACCAAGGGAGAAAACCTCGCATCTTTTTGTCAAACCAGCAGAGTTAGAGAGAACGCGGCATGATTAGAAGAAAACGGCAGAAGGATGATGCGTGGAGAAGCTTGCTACGAGTTACAACAATCCTTTTTCACACCCTGAAAAAGTTGCCATCAAAATCACTTTTCACAATTCCCAACTTGTCCGTGGCGACCATCTCGCCACGCTCCCACTCCTGATACCGATTCGTCAACGCCTGTTTCCCTGAGTGGCTCCTCGCGACCTTTGACCCCGCTCGGCTGCCGCCCATGCGAGCCCCGCCTGCCACTGAACTAGGTCACATCCGTGGGAGCCAGCGATAGTGTGAGTCGCTCACCATCGGTGGCCGAGAAAGAGCCGCGCCACGTGGCTGGGTGACGCCCGCCACCCGGCCAGCTGCGCACACCGAACCATCGGCGCCCGGTCAGGTGGCGGTCCTCAACCGCCAAACACGCTCCATCGTAAAGGCGTGAGCGCTCTCGGCGAGGCTCTTAGCCGAGCGGTGTTCCTTGTACCGGATGACACAAGCGGACGACACCGAGGTTCATGACGTCCACTGGATGCCCCCCCCCCCCCCGCCGGCCACGCGGCGAACGGTCATGGCCACCCGCGAGCAGGCGAGCTGGCCGTGCGCCAGCGGGCGCCCAGTCGGCTCAAGCGGTCGAGGTGTGACCCAAATAGCACCTACTGCTACCGCGGCCGACCGCCTTTTTTGCCGTCTCCTAAATAAAACTGGCGACGGGCACTGACGTGGGACCGGAGAGAAAACGGCTGGTCTGCCCACTTCCTCGCATACGTGTAGCGTAGGCCACGTCGTGGCGCACGGACACAACCTTCGGGGGGGCTGCCGTCCGCACATTTTTTGTGGCGTTCCTACGCCCCTGGCGCCGGAGGTGTCGCGTGGCGCGGCCTCAGCGCCGCTGTCAGGCGCCGCGCTGTCAAACTCAGTGGATGTATGTGGGGGAGCGGGGGGGGGGGGGGGGGCGGGTATGGGCGCCGGAGATGCGCTGAGGGCACGTGTCGGGGTCTGACGTTGATCGAGCGCTTCAACGTCACGCGACATCGTGTCCCGATCGCTCGCCGCACACCGTTTGGCTAACGTTTCCTGAAATGTGCGAATGGCCGACGGCGCGCTTGGCAGCGCCAGTAGGCGAGCGGAGCCGCGAGACACGCTTTTTCGGGCTGCTCAAGGTCACGCCAATAACACAGCCGCTTCCCGTTAGAGGACGCCTGTCACCTTCCGTTCGCTTATTGGTGGGCGGCGTCCGACGTGCACCCGTCCGCCAGCGCGCACACCGGCCCGGGTGCTTATCGCACACCTTCTAAGGCTTCTGACGCCGACCGCAACGCCCCCGGGCATAGCAGCCGACCTGGCTGGCTGGGGCGCCAGCTCCACGGTCGCTGGGCGACGCGCCCTGCCCACCTGTTTATGCACGGAATCGTCCGGTGGTGAACCGGTTCCGCCGGCGGCTGCCGAGGTGGAGGACGCGGTCCGATCTACGCCGCCACGGCCCGTCGCCGGGCGGAGCAGACTGGCCGCGAAAGGGACCCTCGGAGGACAGCATCGCAGCAAGCTCGGCGGCCGGTCGGTGCGGTGCGGTTTGCCGACGTATGAGAACATGAAAATAACTTGATCAAAGCAGTCTCTAGCTCTGGGTCAGTGTATGACGTAGTGCTGTACCGCGCGGTGTGTTTTGATTTTCGTGATTTTATTTTTTGTTCGTTTACTTTTTGCGGTCATTCCTGGTTCGTTTTCTTGCGTAGGATGTATTTCACTTTCGAGCCATGTGATAAAGCCGGGATCGAATACTAAGCCAACAGTTGGAGTGGTTCCTTAATAAATTGACTTGACTTGACTTCAGGTAAAAGTCATACTTAACTTAAGATAGAATTGATCATTGTAAATCAGAAAGTCATGTGGCGGTACGATCACCAATTTGTGGTCCCCTTCTCAAGATATACAGCATACCTTTGTGTTCATGGATCGCAAAAGGCCTGAAATTCTTCTGTTTAGTCTGCCGTACACAAAATGAACACGGCGTCAATACACGGATGTTCCCGGCCACGTGGCTTTGTAAGAGGAGCTACAGACGCTTGGCGATATCGGTCATGTGCTGACACCAGTGACAGGCTTCTGATATTGACGTGATATACACCAGAATGGCGATAGAAATCGGACCTCACGCCGGCTGGACGTCAGATGTTGAAGGACTGTTCTCCACGCTGCTTCGCAATCGACACCTGACAACTATGTCTCTTTTGAAATTCTGTTTTTTAACAAAAGCGTAGGATGCGGTCTACGCTCACGACAAAATGAAAAAAATACGTCTAGAAACCATCCCAGGGTCGCCGTCTGATCCCAGCGTCGCCGTCTGATCCCAACGTCGCCGTCCGATCCCAGCGTCGCCGTAGGATCACAGCGTCGCCGTCTGATCCCAGCGTCGCCGTCTGATCCCAGCGTCGCCGTCGGATCCCAGCGTCGCCGTCGGATCCCAGCGTCGCCGTCGGCTCCCAACGTCGCCGCCGGATCCCAGCGTCGCCGTCGGGACGCGGAGTGAGGACCCAGGCACACAACCGAGACGCCATCGCACCCCCGCAGCCAGCCTAGCTCGTGTTTATAGTACACCGGCGGCCCCGCCATCTCAGCCTCACATCCAGTACAGTGTCCGCCCACAGCAGCGTGATGCGAACAGCATCTGGACCTCACCTTCGGTGGACAGCGGGTTCAGGGTGGTGGTGGCGATACCCTGCGCGGAGCAGGCGTGCACGACAGTCGGCATCTCTATACAGTTGGGCAGACAGGCGGCCACCACGTCGCCGTGACGGTAGCCCCTCTGGTGCAGCGCGTCGGAGAAGCGCAGCACGTTGCGGTACGTTTCGTTGTAGGTCAGTGTCTTGTCGGTGATGCCACATATCTGGGGACAGAGTGGAAGGACGGGTTTGGACGCGTCCTGTTTCGCGTCTAGGGCGCGCTGATAAGCAGAAACCAGCTCTGGTCTGGGGACAGAATACGATGATAGCAGACAAAGAAAGAACTGCGAAAAAAACATAAACAGTACGGGTGGCTTAGACCACAACACACCTATACGTGCGTAAGTTAAACACACCGACATGCGGACCGGTACACTGGTTAAAGGGAATGTTTCACACTTGAAAGTATGGAAGTGAGCATCGATATGATGAAACAAGCTCACTTACCCATTGGTATACTTTTTAAGTGGAAAAGACTGCTCTGTACAGCACAATGCTCAGTAAGTATGCTCCCCAATGCGTCGTGGTTCCATTACGTCATCGCACCTTGCACACCATTCATTGAGGGCCATTGGACGGCCGTTATATCTTGAAATCGCACTCACGAACGCCAGATATGAAAGCCTCGACAACTATGTTTTTGGCCTTGATCGCCGCATGGCTTATGGAATGACAGGATTTGAATGAAGTTATGGTAACATCAATGCCAAGGTGACTTCAAAAGACTCCCCCGATATATCTTTCCCCTTTTTCGGGCATGTGGCTCAGAAACTAAGGGGATTTAGGTCTTAAGAAGGGCAGAATTGTGAACAGCACCGGAAGGTCTTTAAGATGGCTATTTCAGTTCAAAACTCTGTTGAGTGTGGACCACTCCCTTAAATGTGGCATGTATCATGAATCATCTCGTGAGGCAAAGCTGCTGGACGTTAAACATAGTTATAATCAATTCTGGGAGCTGTCTCAGTCGAACACACCAAGTGAAATGATTGACATTCAAGGCAAACTTTTCAATCGATACCGATACGGCCAACAGACGTTTTTTTCCATTCCGCCAACCTTGCTGATACGTCTTTAAGCTTGTTGCAAAGTTTCGTACAGATTGGAAACACCGTGCGTGTTTTACGATTGAATGTTTCACCTTGAATAATATCTATATCTCACTACGTTGAAAAACTCCCATGATCACAGCAAAAATCCTCGCCACATCTTCGCAAGTCTCCTCTTTCGCATCATTAGCAACCGCGCTGACGCAAATGTTAGGGGCGATATCAGTCCGATCGAATGACAACTCTCCGGTCTCCCGGCAGAGTGCAAAGGTCGCGTCACCACCCTCCGGGGCCTCACAGTCGTCCCACTTGTTCCATATTTCGGAGGCGGCTGTCTGGCGTAGCTCGACCAAAGTCCATCGCCTCCGAATACCACACGTGTGCCAGCACGGTACGCCGGCACACGGGCCACTCGCGTGGGCAGGAGCGGCCATCGCGGGCAAGGGTCACCAGCGCGAGCAGGGGCCTCCATCTCCGCGAGGGCCAGGCGCACGCCTCTTGCAACTCAGAGATCAGGGGAAGGACGCAGCAAGAAAACAGGGGAGGCAGAGAGCAGCAGGCCACCGGACACCCTTAAAACCAACCGCAAAACAGGCGCCATGTAAGTGTAAGAGAGAAGCAACGAGCGTTATTAATACGTCTGAGGTTGTTATGCTGACAATAACCGACCATAACTGCACCAGATGATACTGGTTAAGCGATGCTGTCAGGTAAGCAATGGTTGTGTGTTGTCTGCCTTATCTCACAACACCGAAAAACGCAAGCTCAGTACCTTTCTTGTTTGCATTAAGTATCAAGCTGTAAGGCGAAAGGTAGAGTTTTGTGTCCCTGTAAAAGGACCGCTCGGTCTAGCAACGACAATAGCTACTGTGACTTGACTTCCGACATAAAACTCGCTGGTGCAGCGTTCCTCAATCGTGCGTTACAACACGCGACGAGAGAAACGGTTATCATGAGAACCGGCATCAGCAGTTCCATGATAAACTGCCTCTGACACGTGTAATCAGTGCTGCTAAATTCCCGACCCCGGGGGGGCCATATCCGTTACTGTTTATTTGCGGCTGACATCCGCACTCCACGGTGCTCAGTGCATCACACTCGACTGATTAAATTACTGCAGATGGCCAGCAGCTCCGGTCAAACCTTCGCTGGTTTGATTAAAATCAACCGTTAATCCTGCATAACACATCAGCGGAAAATTACACTCTGCGAACCGCAGTAAAGCACCGAAGACATTAATATGCCAGAGCACACTCCAGAATGAACTGTGGACCGCAATCAGGGTCACTGCGATCGGCTGGCTGGCAACAATGCGCGCGCTCGAGGCATCACCTCAGAGTCCAACAGCGGGCCGCGCTCGACAGAGAAGTCGGCGAGCGTTTCCAGTGTCAATCACGGACTTCAGAGGGGTGAGAGCGCTACCACTGTACAGCTCACAGGCGAGGGAAACTATGTGGAAGCGCGCGCGTGTGTGTGCGCGGGGGGATATTTCGGTCCCACCGTCCGGCAGAAAATTAAAACCGCCAGAACTCGCCTCCATTCAGGTAGCAATAAATCTTGTGTGGCAGCTTCCGTCGGGAGATCCTGCGGATACATGCAACATTCCGTACGGGACTTGAAAAACGACAGAAAAAACAAGAAAACAGTTATGAGCGGAGCTATCGCTCATCTCAGCATAACCAACCTAAAAAGCACGTGTTTTGGTTTAGGTGGCTGCAAAATACTCCCCACAGTCAGCGACAGCCTTCAACGCACATGCTCCACGTCGATGCCCAACGGACGTGTGCCACACCCCTTTACAAATCTCATTTTAATCCAACTTTGTGAAATAGCCAAGTGCTGTTGCAAAAAGAGGATCGTTTTTAGCTTCATAGTGGTTATTAAGTTGATCAAGCCGCATTAAGCATAGCAAAATGACCTATATCTGAGAGCGTAAGGATGCCGTGTGCTAAAATCAAGGCAGCGACAGCGTTTCGCATCCCTTGATCCACCCCTCACCCCTCCCCCCGTGGCTTTAAATGGCGCGTTGAAAATACTCGGCGCGGTTTATTCGCAGACTCATGCGAAATTGTCTAATAGCTCTAATCATTTCAAGCAGCTGGGTGGCTGGGTGGGTGGATCAATGTCCACACACCAGGCTGCGATCGGCGATGATGATGATGATTGGGGTTTTAGAGCGCGCCGACTTCTGGCGTAATTTTGCGCCCAGATCGGCGAGGACTTTGACCGCAGCTCCACACCAGCAATTAGCTTGTGCGATTACTTAAAACGATAACACGGCGCTACGCGCCAAATGCGGACACTTTCAACAAGACTGTATCGACCACGCCACCAGCAATTAGCTTGTCCGATTAATTAAAACAATAACACGGCGCTACGCGCCATATGAAGACACATTCAACAAGACTGTACCGATCACGCTGCGTGACTGCGTCGTCTTACCACTCATGTAAGCCGGGAGGTTTCCGTACGGTCGCTGGGGTACTCACAAAAAACCGGGAGGTTCCCAAGCGCAGCGGGAATACTCGAGTAAGCCGGGAGGCATCAGCGTCGCCGTGGCACACGTGTAAGCCGGGAGGTTTTCTCAGGGGGTCGCCGGAGTACTCATGTAAGCTGGGGGTGTCCCCAGCGCAGCCGGGACACTCACGTAAGCCGGTTAGTAACCGCGTCACCAGGACACTTGCCTAAGCCGGGTAGTTCCCGAGCGCAGCGGAATCACTCAGGAACGCCGGATTACTCACGTAAGCCGGGTGGTTTCCCCAACGCAGCCGGCGCTCCCAGACCATCTCGAACAGCGGCTTGCTGGCCGTCTCGATGTCGGCTGAGTGAGAGCGGAGCACGGCCCGCCGCGAGGCCGAGGTGCTCAGCAGGCGGCAGAACGTCAGCGGCTTCATCTTGAAGCAGGCGCGCGATCCGCCAACACCCCTGGAATTGCACGGTCATCAGTCAGCGAACTTCAGCACGCTGGGTTTGGATGTTTGGATTAGAGCTCTTTCCACCCAAAATGATGAGTTCACGGCTGTGGGTTGAGGGGGAATGGATAGCGGCAGGGCAGGACTATATGCGCTTAGGGGGGCAGCGACCACCGCGCTTAAACCCGCGCAGGAACCCCTCGGGTCTGCGCTGGGTGCCCAGTCGGGATTCCCCACTTCCCAGAAGGCCTATCAGCCCCGTAGTGGCTGGCGCATACTGCCTGCCTCGGATAAGAGGAATGTCGTGAGGATTAAGGATGAAGCAAGAAAAGAGGACAAGAGGGTCGGATGCCAGCACGCTAGATCTCACCGTTTGGGGTGCTGCCTCAAACAAACCTTAACAAGAGTATGCTGATAGGTCAACCACGAGAAAAAGGGGTGCTTGCTGGGAATGTGTGCTGGTCACGAAGGCGATGGCGCGCCGTCGCCTATGAATAAAAGATAGTGTGGACATGGATATGCATAATGAATACGAGTCAAGGTGACCCGGGTCGCGAGAGACCGGTTCGGTGGATCACAACGAAGGGGTTCGGGTGATAACAACGCAGCGAGGAGGTCCCCTTCGACTGCGGCGCAGTAATCTCACCGCGCCGTGAGAGCTCAAAATCGTCACGATGGCTTAGTGGCAGCGCTAGATACCACCGTCGCAAGGTCCGCCGACCGCTACGGACCGGACACCCACCCGCCTCGCGGTAAATTAGACGCACGTGTCGTCACAGCTGTGTCTCCCGAGCACGAGTGCAGGCGCCGGGCCGGGGTGGCGGTGATTCCGTGCCGCCCGCGCAGGGCCCGCTCTCCAGCCGCGGTCTCCAGCCGTCGGATTGGTGGCGTCCGATGCCGCCCGGCGGGCCCACCAATCGCGTGTGAGCGCCAAGGGCCCGGGGCAACGCCAGCTGTTTGTGTTGTTCAGAACGGCGATCCCGGAAGGCGCCGCCGGGAGAAAGGGAGAAAGGGAGGGTTCTCTTTCAGAGATCGTAATCCGAGCGTGTTTGGCCGAGCTCGAGGTTGGGGTGGTGCCCTTCCCACGGGCTGCACCAAAGGGATGTCGCAGTGGGGACTGAGGAGGGTTCGAGGATTCAGTAATGGTACACAGCTTGCTCCATGAAAACACCCGGGAATTCTTCAGAAGAGAATGAGGAAGCCTTCGCATAATATCTTTTAAGTTGATTGCACTCACTACGAAGCTATATTGTGTGCACTAATATTATGTCTATACTGGCTAATTGTGTATTTGCATAACGCTTTTGTTCACTCATGGATTGTTGTTATTGGCGCTTTACGACACACTAGGGTTCCCAGACTACGACATAAAGTTGAAACCGAATTCATCAGTTACTGATGCGATCGCATAGGATAACGATTCTGCAACAGAAAAGACAGGAAATAACGAAGACCCTGTGGTACCGTATCGCCCAAGGCCGGCAAATGGGTTAACCAGGCCACGTACTTCAGAATTCAAAAGTCAACATCGCACACACCTTGTTCAACCAAAATTCAACTATGTGTGCACCGAGCTGACTGAAGCTCATGTAATGTACACGCTATGGTGAGACGCTCACAAGAACGACGTTCACGACGAAAAGCAACAAGTGCCGCCGTTTCAGGATGCCATGTGAGATGACCTCGCCTGAACGCCGTTCTGACCTTGACCCGGTGATGTCGCGAGGAGACTGGCGACGGTGGTGAGACCAAGGTCGGGCCCGAGAGCTCGGCAGGAACGTCAGGGAGGTGAGTGAGCCCGGTCACGCCGGATCACCCGTGGGAACGCCAGGGGCTCATGAATAACAGGATGTCGGTTGTGCATGAAGCCACCAAAATCGCGAGTGGCCACGCTTACATCGACCGATAGATGTGTTTTACTCTGGTGCGCATCTGGAAGGAGTAGTGAAATGTTTTGCGCTATCATTGTCCACGTCGGTCGGCTGCCAGCCAGTTTGTTTGACGTCACCACGCGGTTACCGCACGGGTAACTGGGGAGTACTGGGCACAGCACAGGCTCTCGAGTTGCCTTTTTTACCGGAGAGCAAAACACAAAGCAAAAACTATGCTGGCAGATGGGCAGCGTATTTTTGGCGACGTGCGTAGCCCCAGAAATTCCACGAAGCGCATTCCACAGTGTCGACGTAACCACGGCTATGCTGATAATTCTTCAGACACGCAGCCTATGTCTACGCATTTTGTCTGGTCACATTCTAATATGGGAAGTTTTCCAGTGAACCACATTCTAAACAGCGTCAACTGCAGCACTTCAGCGGCAATGTTCTGAAAAAAACCCGATGGCCCTCACCACAACAGAATCAGCTCTGCCCTCGACTTTTGCAGCCAGACCGCTCCCAGAGTGTCCAAAAGGCAACTAAACAGTCTACTGCACAACCACACCGCAACAACACAGCACATCGAGCAGCGGATAAAAAGCAAGACCCTGCTTTCTAACATGTCGTCCTTGATTGTCTTGCAGAAGATGGAGCAGGAAGACATTCCTGGTGACAAGTGCAGGGAGACCAGACCTGTTATCTTGCAGGGTTGCTCTTGCAGTGCACCCACACGAGCGTGAGCGGTGAAGCCGCGGTCAGGTCCCTCTCTGCCTAGTAACAGCGCGCAGCGGCGGGGATGGCGAGGGGGAGGGGCGGGGAGAGCATCGACCGGGGGGTGATGCAGTTCACCGTATTAAGATGTACTTTAACACGATATAAGGGTTTTCGTGAACTGCTATGGCGATATGGCGGATGGCTGTTGTCCTTCACGCAGCAGACATTTCCAAACCTCAGAGAAGTGGGTGACAGACAGAGTGGCAGAGTGGCAGAGTGGCAGAGTGACAGAGTGCAAGGCCGTAGTCCGCTTCTGTGTAGCCGGTTTACTTAGCGCGCGCCGCCCCGTGACGCGTGAGGCGGTGCAGCTTTTGATCTCGAGGCGATTGCTGAACTCTGAACCACGCCCCAAAGAACAGCTGACAGCGGACCGCAGCCGTGTCAGACATTAGGGCATGCTCTTTTAAGCCTCGGCGCAGCAGTGATTGACCAGCCGGGGGAGCCGGCCGCGAGAGGGGGGTGGGATCAGGAGCATAGTCCACTTGCACCTCAGATGAGGCGGGCTACGAGAAGCTGGTCGTCGTCGCGGAAGGACAGATTTACAGTTGACCTGCGGGGTGACGCCTTAGCGGGGTCTGGCCTGACCCTGACACTGACCTGACCTGACCTGACCTGACCTAGCCCGACCGACGCCCAGATCCAAATGAAATGCAAGTGATTGAAAAACCAAGGAATGCAATATCCCGATGTTCAAGAACGGTTAAAATAGTCAGGCATACCCATTATCGTTCTTCAGGTGGCAAGCTATCATCTGTCAGAATCATCCGGTAATAACTACGACGTTTTGGAACCATCAGTGTGTAACAGACTAAAATGCCCTCTAACTCACCCGCGGTCGCAAGGGCCTTCGCTCTCTCTGAGGCGATGAAAATGGATAACTTTTGAGCGTTTTATTTTTAATCAATCGGCATAGTATTTGCAACTTAACTCTCATCCAAGCACCATGAATCCACGTTGATCCTTGCACTGACGAGTTTCAACTACATACGTTCGCCATAGCACAAAATAGCGTCCTCGAATACCGCCCGGTGTCTCGTAACACATTATTAGATATATAGGAGTGTCTGTTATAAAAAATAGAAGTTAGTTGTGTGAGTATAATTGTGGAGGAAATCAATATGAAACAGCACTGAAAGATCTACTTCCAATTGCTTCCTATACCGCAATTGCTGCAAGTACCGCAAATTAGCTTAAGTGTCCCAAATTTTACCTGATTATGGAATTGGGTCCGGGAAGGAGGAATTAGAACCGGAGCAGAAATTATCAGGCAACTGACGTCAGCGGGGCAGAGTTGACGCAAACACATAACACGGATCAATTCAGCCAAGTGCCCTCTCCAATTTCACGAAAACATCTCAAACCGAGTCTCACCAGCCACCCTCGTTCTGACGGACTAACATACCTGTATCGAATCAGGCCGTCCACGTAACACCGTCGGACCGCTGCGTGTGCGCCTGAGCCGCTCTGCCGCGCTGGTACGGAACGTGCCGATCCCCCAGCGACCTCAGCCCGCGCCCAAGCTCCGCCAACCGCGAACCGGCCTGAGCCTCCGCACGCGCGCCGACTCGACGACCTTCAACGGCAGCCGGGCTATGACGTCACGCGGCGCAGGCCCCGGGAGCAGCGAGGGGGTGGGGACGGGGGCGCGGCAGGCGCAGGCGAGCCCCCGCGCCGACGGCGGACGGAGGCTCGCCTGCACGCGTCGACGGCGGCGGCGCAGCGAGAGGAGGCAGCGGCACTGGCAAGGTCGCATCGGAAATCGATGGCGCGCTGCGCAGTAGCGTATTGGCGACGATTACTGCCGCTGTGGAAAGGAGCTGGGCTGAAGCGCTCGATACACAGATGGCGCCCCTCGCCAAACCTGCGAAACGTTGCAGACGATTTGAGAAAAAACCCAACATTAACGGGACTTTGCTAATGAGGTATTGCCCTTGAATTTCACAAATTGCATACCTGTACCTTAAGTTATGCCCAGTGAAGACCTATGTTTTACCGTGCTCTAGAAAAAGGGATGACAGTCAGGTTGGAAACAATGCGAGGAACAAAAACAAGACATGACAAATTTAATTGGAAGTCGGCAAAATTTGGCGCCTGGCATTACAGGAAATGTCAGCGACTGTCCTCGGACATAATCGCAGATCCAACCATCCCCGCTTCCTCGCATCCCTGTTTCCTCCACTCCGAGTCCGCGCGAGCTCATCCGACAGACGCTCCTGGCAGGGCGCCAGCCTTCAATTCGTCACCACCGAACCGCACACGCGTCGTAAGGCTGTCTGAGGACAGTTCTTCGTTGGCAAACGGTAGCATGTTTCCTGCTTCGGGATCAGCCCATTTATTATACATGACGTCACAGCCTAAGCCCATTCCCTATGCTCGGCCGAGAGCCAAGGTAAGCGCGTTTGTATGCAAGCAAGCTGCCACTGTTGATGCACCAACGCTTAGCGACGGTCGATGTGCCGCTGGCGATCTTGTACGTCCGGCAAACAGGCAGACCTCGATATCGTGTGGATAGTGTGATAGACAATGATGTATTTAGCCACAGAAATTGCCACCAACTGTTCATTCGAATAACATTCAAGTGCGCCATCCCTGCGCGCTTTATGTCGCCATGGGCTGGATACGGCGATGCCACTGGCGTCATGTGGAACTAAGAACGCTCTTGACTGACGTTATCTGTGACTCCACCTCAATGGGCGGAGCCTAGGTCGTAAGTCAATGACGAAGTGAACTCAAGTGACCGACCTGCGCTAGCTTCTATTCATACCCTGGAAATCATTCCCTCTTTTACCACAGACTGAGACACCAGGTCCTTTTTCAAGGCTCCCTTTGGCTTATTTGCAAAGACCAGGCTCTGGCTCATGGTTCACACTGGTTCTTCTCAACCACACTTCAGCTTCACATTCCCACTGGCAAAGGCCAGAAAACCCCAAATCCCAGCTACCGTTTCTCATTGGCTCATTCCTAACCACCAGCTTGCCAGTTATCTACCATTAAAGGCAGCCATTGGAAGTAAAATGGATTTCGAGCATCGACCAGTGATGACATTATTTATCACTGTTATCCACGGTTATTAAACATTAAAGGCGTGCCGTCGCAAAAATAAAATGTCCATCGAAAGTGCACCAAAAAACCACCAGCAATTCTGACCGGTGAAGCATGCATAACGTAAGTGTACTGTATGAATACCCACTGGTTCCTGAAATCAATCCGGCGAAATCTTGGAGCGCTGCATTCTGGGTCTTGGCAGGTATATGGTCTTATTACAAACTTGCTCCTGGCTTCTTCCTGGTTCCGGAAACAGGAACTGGCTCCGCCGAAGGTTTTTCGGAATAGTTTTCGAACGGCGGGGCGAAGTCACGCTAAATTTTGCGTAGCTCTAAAGACTTAAATAGCTTATCGTTTGGTATCACAAAATTACATTTACTTTGCCAGGTCGCTGATCTACGACGTGTCAAGGCCATGTCATGGATTCAGCGAAGTTGATTTCTAGGGAATCGTTCTGTCTGACGCAACAACGGAGTGTCAGACGAAGCCATACATCTCTGAAACACTTTCTTAGGCAACACAACAGCTGAACAAATTTAATTGACCTAGGGTCAGGTATGAAGATCAAACCAAGGTCAAAACCAGCCAAGGTCAAACCAACTCCAATGCTTGTTTTATACGGCAGTTTATGGGGCACATTTATAATTTATTTGATAACAGGAACCACATTACACATCTTCCATCGGCTTCTTAAATCTCAGAATAGGTCACTGACCTAAAATGAACCACGTAAACGTTTTCTTTTTAGGAAAATACTGCCTAACGTAGTCTTTGTCAATTATTCAAATGCAAACTCAAGGCAGCATCATAAGATTTTGAGTCCCATGGCGTTCAAAAGGTCAAACAAAGTCACTGGCCTTAACTGAGCATATTGACTTTTGCTTAGAACGGGTGTCTAGGTTCTGGGGGCACTTTAGAGACTATCCTGGAGTTGTCATTATTTGACTTTATTTGACTCGAAGGTGATGACATAGGGACCTCAAACTTTGACCTGAATGAGTTCACGTACAGGCCAGCACACCCCGTGAAATTGGTGTCTCTAGCTCTCTTAGTTCCTGAGATCTCAGGGGGAGGGTAAAATTGATCCCCCACCCCCCACCCGAACGAAGGGTGTCCAAGTGGCCACCCGGACGCGTGTTAAACTTGTGTATTATTTACTCTCTGGAGCAAAGCCAGCCCATCAGCTGCATATGCTTGCCTTGGTTGCCTTTTAACTTTTTCAGCGTGATCCTGTCAGAACTTATCATTTTGAACTTTTTGTCTACTGAATTCACACTTTCCTAAGTCCCCGTCTACCCCTACCGACTTTCATGTCTGTCAGTGGAGGACATTACGACAGAAATGTCTTTCCCATTTTTCTCTACTCAACTTTTATACCTGATGACTCGCGATGCCTTATTTGACTTTTTGACCATTTTGCCTTTTCTGTTTCTGGTTTTATCCCTGTCGATTGTTTGTCTTGTCTGGTGTTCTGACTTCGCCCTTAATCGTTCGACTTTTTTGTTCGTTTTATTTCAATCTGGCTTTGTGTCCGGACATTTGGCAAAGGCATCCTGGATACTTGCGAGAGATTGCCAAAGCTGAGCTTGAAAATGCAGTCGCTAGATGACAGGGCGACCGGAACTGTCGACCGAAGACGCTGGCGTATGCTGTTTTGGATGTCGAACGGAACATTGCTGGTATGTAGGGAGGGCGACAGTCATGGTGGTCGTTAGAGTCATTCCGGGAGCTTTTGAAGCGGGGGTGAAAATCTAGGGAGGTGTTCTAATGCCTCGTGACCAGCTAAAGCGGGCTGCAAAATTGACAGCGCGGTCCACGCGTACGGTGAAGTGTTGCCGTGATGCCAACAGAAGGGTCTGGATGCAAATGGAGAGCGCGGAGGCCTCACACACAGCGCACACAATAACATGTACATGTGTATTAACGAATTTGGGGCGAACACGCTTGATTCCAGTTTGCGATACCAGCACCCGATTTTGAATGCACGCCTAAAAGGTTGTTTAGCTAAATTGCATCGATGTAAGCATATATCGTCGCATTTTATTCTAGACTTTAAGAATCGTGACACAAGGACCGGAGCTTTGCTTAGGTTACCATGAGCAGATAGACATGTCTAGAGGTAACCTGTACAACAATTTGCAATTAATTCACTGCATGATATGATAAGACTATTGCATCACAAAGCACATCCATATCCCACTTCCGGCATAAAAAATATAAGCGGAGCTAAATGCACCGAGCCAAAAAAGTGACTGAGCCTATTTCGGCTTACATGACCGGACATTTCATCCATAGTGAAGAACATGGGAGCCATTTTGATCGTGGATCACGCCACTCACACAAGATTATCAGCATTTCAGCATCGCAACGAACACCACATCAGCCATGAGTAATCTACGCCCCTTTTCGCCTGCTTTGTGCCACGTCAAATCATGAAATAACAGGTGGAAGTCACAACTCATCAATCAAACATCCCCAGAGCGATGAATATTCTGCAGTCAGTTTTAGAGACGCGCGTCCACCGCCAGCATCAGAAGAACCTCAAAGGTCAACCATCCAGGGCACGAAGCTCCCAGGTGCAGGACTGGGAGGCAGCTGAAACAAAGACACACCGGGCTGACCACAGGTCAAGTTGAAACAAAGTGAAGCCGTCATTTGCGATTGACGAATCAAAGGAAACGCACATTATTTAACGAAATCATCAACAACCCTACGACATCAAACGTTGGAGAACTGAACAGCTCGCGTCACCGTACTTCTACACGGCCTGCTACAATCGAACGAGTTTACATATGCTCCTCGTGCTTAAAGAAACTGGGTCTGCCATCTGATGATCATTGGTTAAAACACTGAACGTTGCGGCGTGTCCCGCTTCAGACCATTTTTCTGCCAGCTGTCCGCGCTCCACGGCGCCATGCTTCCAGAGGGCTTAGTCTCGATGTGCAATCTATGCGAAGCCGGCAACCTACTGCGTTCGGGCGTTGCAACCCAATATCCATGCTACAACAACATGGCTCAGTAAACCGAAGTCCCCACTGCAAAAGTGCAGATGTATCTGTTGGTCAGCATGAAAGTTGGGTTTGAAAACCTGCCGTTGGGATCAAAACTTCCTCCTTTCTTTAGGAATACCAGGGGACAAGAACTTTGTGAATAGTTGCAACCCCTTAAAAGAGGTCGAGCTAGGCACCGATTTATCACTATCAACCAATCGAATCAGTCACACCAATCTTTCAGTCTTTGCAATCTTCAGACTTTCAGAATTTCAGTCTTTCAGTCTTTCAGTCTTCAGAATCTAATCTGAACCATGTTTGATCCCGATCCAATTCTTCTGTCAAGCACATTTTTCCACGTTGTGACTTCTTTGCCATGCAAGGTATCGTGGCGATTTCCTGGTATCCGTGGTGGCTATTTGTGTTGTGGGCTGCACAGCACATATTTAGGTCAATGCTCAATGCAACATAAAAAAACTCCCAAGACGTTCACGTCAACTCGCGTCAAGTAGCCTATCTAGAAGAGTCAAGCTATCCATGGATGCATGAAAGAAGCTGGTTTGTCAAAACTCGACAAACTGCTCTACGCCAACTAGAGTAAAGTAGGCTATCTAGAGGAGTCCAGCGAACCATGTCTGCATGGAATAATCCCGTTTGTCAAACCCGAAAGCCTACCGATTCATGACCAGCCGGTGTCGCCCGCCCCGCCTTACCTTGTCGGTGAGCGTGTCCTGACATGCCATCCGGATGCGGTCGGGGGTGGCGGGGCTGTGCAGGTCGAACGGCTTCTCCACGCCCTGCTGGCGCCGAGCCGCTCTGATCGCCTCCTTGATGGCGAAGAAGACCGAGGCGGCGCAGAACAGAGGCGGCTCGCCCACCGCCTTGGACGAGTAGACGGCGCGCGGGTTGGAGGTGCCTCTCAGCAGTGACACGTTCAGCTGCAGTGGGATATCGCCGAACCCTGCGGAGAGCGTCGGCGGCAGCGAGGTCAAGATCAAGAGCATAGCATAAAGGAAAGAATATTCGAAGAAAAGCATTTGAATAATAGGCCTAATATCGGAATTCGTGGAACGTTCCAATGTCGAAATTATCGCTCAAAAGTTTGGGACAGCTTGACTGCCCTCTGAAATAAACATCTTTAATTTTTAGCCCTTGTCCCTAAGTTTTCTAAAATTGACTCCTTCGCGCATTGCCCCCGGGTTCCAGTCCCTCACCGGTAGGGAGTATGCAGCAGCTGGTACACGACTGGCGTACTTAACTCCTCAGAGGCTAAGGTAAAACGACTCACTTCGTAAATAATAAAATAAGAAAATCGAACAACAGACAAGAAAACAATGCTATGACGAGAAAGTGCAGACAATTTCTACGAAGGAATGTGAAGGACACGTGAAATAAGCCAGCATGAACAATGCCATATGAAACTACAATTTAACTTTGAACACAAAAGAAGCCAACATGAGCGACATGTCGGTCTCAAGCCATGGGTTGTAAGTTCCCCCTCCCCCCTTGTCCAAACACAACTTCACACGCACGCAAAATCTCTCGCCTCAGTATTATGAATCACTTTTATTCAATGAACGAGTACCGCCATTCGGGACATAACATGTGTAAGTCAAACGCGTTTCGAAAATATGCAATCAGAGCTCTCTACATGTTCATTCCGTTCTCATCGTTTGGATCGGTCCCAGATCTAATCGATGAGAACGGAATGGGAAATGGAAAAGACTAGACACTGAGTTCTAGATTACGGACACTGCATGTTACTGCAATGATGACAAAACCGCGCGCAGACTTTACCCAACATCTGGAACCAAAGTCCGAGAAATAGTTATTCACTTTATTGTTGTCTTAAAATTTCTGATGCCGATTTATTTGATTTTCTTGATTGAAGTGTTTCATTTCATAGAAATGGCATGGTTCTTGTGATAGCATCCTCGGCAATTACATTTCTCCTTAAATCAATGTTCTTTCAACCCGTGTCGCAGCAGAGACGTGCAATCCAGTCGAGATCAAAACAAATTCGCCTCATTGTGTTGATGACAACATTTGGGAAAACTCGGAGCAGTCGAAAGCACATGTCTGAAAGCCTCACAACTGAAAAGAAACCAAATCGCCACCCAAGTATCAAAGACCACTTTACACAACTTAAAACAATAGAGTTATGATAAAACACAGGAAAATGACCAACTTAGCATGCCTTTGCAAACTAGTTTCATTTCGCTTGTAGAACTTTGATATGCTAATGCACTGGAAAATCTCACGCATCCGCAAGTAAGGAGAATGCCAGTATGCATGCCATACATCACATGAAACTGAAAATTGCCACATATAGGCACAGAAAAAAACTAAATGAACATCGCTCAAAGCCGGTGACTTCTTTCATTGACCTGGTATTTTGTAGGCGCCCGGTCCGCGGGTGTAGTTGAACCCCTTCGGCGAGTACTTCAGTCGCTCCATGCAGAACAGACCGTATCCCTGCATGAATGCGCCCTCTATCTGACCAATGTCGATGGCCGGGTTCAGCGATTCGCCGATGTCCATCACTATGTCTGCCCGCAGAACCTGAGGATGAGCGGGGTTCTGAGTTAGGCATGGGACTTGACACAGGCACGATCACGTTTAACGACGGCGTTCAGCGGGTTAGCCACGCGAAAATCCTACACGTGGCATTATTTTGCAGCTGGGCGTCGCATTGCAACATGCAAATGACACCCTCCAAACGCCAGGTCTCCAATGTCAATGCGTCGCAACTCCCTTTCAACGTCGCAGGAGAAATGAACCATCATGATGTGCACAGTTCGTTATGTCCACCATTCATTACGTCCACAAATGGTTCTGCCTCCGTCCGGCAGCGTGAGAAGCTTCGCCTTTGTGGGAGATCACGTCACGGTGCTGCTAAACACCGCGACGTGATTCTCTCCAATTTGGTAAATAGTCCAGCACCATTGCGAAGTGAATCTTCCGCAGCCTCCCGCAACCAGACTCTGAACAGAACCGACTGGAAAGAGGTAGACCCTTAATACCGGACCTGAAGCAAAACCGACCAAAATAAAGCCGGCTCCGCACATGACAGATGCAAACCTGCTCTACAGGAATAAGCCCCACCTTGCATGAAACCAACAATCGTGCCGCGGGTGTGCATGAGCAGCCACGTGGCAGACATTACAGGGTGAAGATGATGTACAAAACGAGGGCACGGTGGCGTGGAGTCCGGCGCAACATGCGTTGTTATGTAACTGCTTGAACAGCAGGGGAAGGCCCGAGTCATCATTGCTCTATCATGTGTGCGGTGCGACTAGGGAAGGTGAAGCTACGGGAGCACAGATGTTGAGCATGGCTGATGCAGCACGTGGTTGGAACAGAATGGAACCCCGAAAAATACGAGAATGTTGCACAACAACCACTGTCATAGTGATTGACAGGGTCGGCATTGTGTAATCGGTCCGCTTATCCCTACATCCACACTCGATTGGCTATTGCTGTTTCACACGCCCTGCTCCTATGCTGACTCCTCCTCATGGACATACTTAAGACGCGCGTTACCACCATTGGTTGCAGCAATACAAACAATGGCAACAATAGGTACTATCTGTCCTCGCCCAACCCAGCCCATCGAGCTATCCTGGTACTGAGAGAAACAGCTCTATGAACAGGTTAAAACCCAGGTCCGGTGTCTGTACCTGCTTACAGCTGGATCGATATCTGGCGCCTTTGTATGAGATGATCTACTCTTTTGCTTTGAGCAAGACACGATTTTTAGGTGCCCCTTAGAAGCAGCGTTGCAATTTAGCGATGGAAACGCAACTATCTGCGTACATTTGCGGGAATGGCTCCTGAGCTTGAGGAGAGGAGTAGAGGCGCATCCAACGCATTGGTAAGAGGTGGGTGCGCAGGGTTCACAAAGGTCGCTGATGGTGAAAGCCCTTCACCCCGAACCAGAAATCACCGATATGACCCATTTAATTTCAAGGGGACACGATTTCTCCGTTACAACTTGATTTTCAACTTCTTTGCTTGGAACAGAAGTCAGAGCAGACAGCGGAAGGTGGCACACACTGTTTGCATTTTGAGGTCAGTTACCTGAACGAAACGGTCGTGTAATGACTGCATGTTGTATACTTCCGGTGTTATTCATTTCACAATGGTTAAGTGGAATTTTTCTAAACAGAACTCAAAGTTGTGCTATATATTTTTATGGGTTCTACAGAGATACTGCAGACTCCTTTAGCGTTGGTTGTAGATCCAAATGGTGTCAAAACTTGGAATAAACATACCCAACCCATGCTCGTCTGGGAATGTTCAGGCTTTAGTGAAATCCGTTACTCAAAAAAGGGCAACCATGCTGAATATGCGCGCTCGCAAATTCAGACTTATGGACCATGCACGCTCGCAAGTTTAGTTCAAGGACCATTCCATCCCACCGCGGGATGCGCACCGACTGCTATTCCACGACACGGGGCGGGGTCTCCTGACTGATCCAGAAGGCCTTAAAACGATGCATCATACATTGGCCCCCTGCCTGTTGAGGAAGGCTCTCTAACCGGGCAGTTAGCCCCAAACTGACGCAACAGGATCACTTATCGCCGGTCCAAAGATTGGCACAGATGTCCCAGTTCGGCTGAACTAGATCTTAGTTGGCCTGGGGTGCAGAAACCCCCCATTCCGTACTGGGGGCCCTGACTCACACCCCTTACCCTGGACCTTCCAATGTATGTTGTGGATCCTCATCTTAAGCGCTCATGTCTCCTTTCCCTCACTGATGACCCCGATAAGCGCAAGATGCCCTGTATCATTCTGGGTCTTTTCCATGTGCTTGTTCAGGAAATATTTCTTCGCATGTCTCGAGATCCCTTGCAGACAGAGGATATACTGTAAGACACCGAGGGCTCCCACGGGCCGGTAAACTTAATATGACCCACAGCCAGCCGTTCGGGCCCTTCAGCCATAAAATCGAGCTCTTGATCGTCAGTCCCGGAGGGCCCTTCGGGCCCCTCTTCAAGTTTCCTCGAACACTGCTTCCGGCCGACTCAGGGCTGTTTGCTGATACTGGAGCCCACTGTTTGGTACTGGTGGTGCCTGACCGCATGGAAACCATCATCGACTGAAGGTGTCCTGACTGGCGCAGAGGCCCTCTGACTGACATTTGAGGGTCCGGCACACGGGACCGGCACACGGTGGTGGTAGGGCCGGGATCGCTAATACCACCTCCGACTAGACTTTCGTGCCCTTAATCGTCGGTCGCAAGGGGCTCCTCGGAACTACCAGAGGGGGGGGGGGGGAGGCACGCACCTTCAGTGCCTACAAGCTACCAGGAAGAGCTCCGTGCGAAAATAAACGTCCATTGAAAATAACACATGCATTTCGCTGATTGAGAGAGTAATGGCTGGGTGAGAACAAACTGTTCTCAACCATAAAGGCGAGGCACCGTTCGGTTGCGGACACAGGAGACACTATTTTGAGCACATTATGGGCTGTGGACATTAAGAACTGTGGACGTTGTAAACTGTGGACATTATGAACTGTGGGCAGTGTGAACTGTGGACGTTATGGTAAGGACCCCGCAAGAGCCAATCAACAAGTGGATCGATGTTAAATACAAGCCTCAGTCAAGGTCAGCAAAATGTTTCCTTTGCCACGCTGGCTATCTCAAACACAACAAACGCCTCAGCCAAGTTCAGCAAAATGTTTCTTTTGCCACGCTGGTGATCTCAAACAAAGTAAACACAAAATGGAAATCGAGCTCGCAACGCACCCGCATGCCGTAAAAAGTGAAAACAATCGGACCCTTTTCGATAAATGCGGAGGTGTATCTTGATAAAGGGCATAACGATGGCTAAAGCGTGCCTTTGTTGCGCCATACAGCATTCGCAAGATGACACGACGCTGTAATAGTAAAGTCTCTCATCAGCAATGGGAGGCCGAAAAATCTGTTCACATGACCAAGGCCGTCGCAAAATGAAATACATTCTTGCCTGATGATCTCCAGTGAGACAGTCGATCTCCACCACCGAACATGCGGCTCCGTACACGTAGTAGGCGAACATAGCACCAGTCTTCGATTCTGGGTTGTACGTCAAGCCTCGTGTTCTGTAAATAACCACGATATCAATCGGAACAGAACGTGACTTACGCTGAACTGCCAAATTACTGCACCCATTGACAGGGAGCGGAACTGGAGTGACGACAGCAACTGGGCAGCAAGCCTAGCAAATACAATTTAAGCATTTATTTTTGAAACCACGTTAGCTTCAAGTAACTTTCTACAAAATGTCAGATGTATACATTATATCCCATATTATATATCTTCACTAATTAGCTAAATATGATGATATGATAAGTATAAAAATGGTGGATAGTTATATCGAACAAACTGGCGAACATTTCCGTACATCTGTCTGTCAGAAATTCTACATTTAGGCTTTTAGCATAATGGCTGGCGAACGCGCGTACTTTTCAAACCCGCAGGCGGAGAGGCTAACTCGCTGCATGTAGGCAGCGTTGACCCAGTGCTGGAAGGCGGCCTGTGGGCTGGCTTGGCGGAACGGAGCCAGACGCTGGCGCAGCTGCTCGCAGGCGTCCTGAAAACGGGCTCCGTTCGATCCATAGTCCCATGCGATACCTTACAGTGCTTCACCCGCGAAGAAAGGCTGGTGAGCCGCTTAGGTGGCGCGTGTAAGACAAGGTCGCGTTACGGGTGAAATCAATATGCATCTGTTATTCGGCACGCAGAATGGATTTCTAAGGATTGCAGGGTTATGCAAAAACGATAATGTGGGTAATGCAAAAGAGTGAGAATAGGGGTAATGCAAAATGCAATACAAAAATGCAAGAGTGAGAATGTCAGAAATTATGGGCACCATCGAACACGTCCGAGGCCATCGCAACATGCTTCACTACCTAAGGTCATACTTTGTTTCCGTAGAAACCAGAAATACAGACCTACCCTTTCGTGCGCGGATGGCTTGATGAATGCACAAGTCGCATCGAGTGGCAACGAAAGCACAACACCACACAACGGTGCACGTGCAGACATTTACAGCCGTCGTAAACGCAGTACACGTCTTTCCAAGCGCTGCCTGCGAACGGCGACCCGGCCAGCACAGTGCATTTGTAATTGTGAGAGTGCACGCAGTCCCTAGAAGAACAACAAGGATAAGTCCACCCTTACCAATACGGCAGCGCAGTACAAGTCTGTGCTCATGGACGCTGCCGTCGGCACCGCGTTGGGCACCTTATCCGTTGACGTCTCACTGATGTAGACACTCTCCACCGGAACTCCCAAAGCGCGAGTCACCGTCTGGAACACCACAACGTAGCGCTGGAGGCCTTATCCTCTGACGTCTCACTAGGGTAGACACTCTTCACCAGACTACGAATCCGCGGGCCACTCTGTTTAACACCATGCGATGAGCTGTCAGATTTGCATGGGCTTCTTGTATACGGCATCACGACGGGGCTCCGCATAAACAGCTTTCACCTTTCAGATGTATTAGAAGGGACCGCCAGGAACAAAGCTGATCAGGATGCGGCACTCTGAAATAGGGCAGCGTGAAGGGAAGGAAATGGGAGGCGGATTACGGATTGGGCGTCTTATAGCAAATCGGTGCTATGTAGGCAGCAGACGGCTGTATTCCGAACGTCCTCACATCTGCAGCAACGAAACCAAATGCTAGGCCGGCTGGTTTACCTGGTAGCACTTTGTGTAGAGCCCCTGCCCGATCTCAACGCCACCAATGGTGACTAGAACAGAGCCGTCTCTGTAGATGTGCACCAGCGCACCACCCTGGTTCAAGAACTCCAGGCCGAAGGCGATCCCGTACTTGTTTGGAATCACGGCAAGACCTCGCTTCTTCCAGCGGTTCGAGCTACGGAACGAAGGTGACGTGCCGGATCAATCAATATGACAGACAGGCTGGAAAAATGCATGTTTGAAGCAGTTCAAAGGACCTGAAGGCAAAACAAGCGTTAACGACAACTTCTGCCAAAATTTTGTCAATTAGTTCAGGTATCTATGACTGTGCAAAGAGCAATGCCCAGGAGAACTTTTGGTTAGCATTCTTAACATAATCACGAGTACCATCCGGCCTACAAGCTAAGTCTCGTTTACACGCCGGACGTTGCATGCACCTAGCATAAGAGCGACTGATGCGGATCGCCCTGCCGACCTGTTGAACTTTTCAACCTCTTCTTTCGCCTGCTGGTATTCCGACCTCCGGATGCACTCGTCCAGGCAGCGTTCCAGCGTGACGTGGAGGACAGGCTGCCTGGTGATGCTGAGCTCGGCCTCGTGGTACATGTTCAGCCTGCGGACCTGCCGACGACGGCCCAACACATGTGCAGTGGTGAGAGCTGAGGGAAGGGGGATTGTCAGCGATGGCCTACGGCACGAAAAGGCGCACGACACCAAACAAAGCCATGTTGGGAGGCTGCAGAAAAAGAAAGGCAAGGGGGTGCCAAACTGGTAGTTGGTATGGGATCATTAAAACGTTGTGAAAAAACCGTTAGGACCCTCCAGACATAAGTCAGATCGTCCAATGGACCGCTCGCATACAAAGTCTCTACGCATTAACGGATCAGTCGTCTCACTGCAATAGGAAGGCCTGTTTGGCCCTGTGCCCAGCATCCTAGCGACACCGAGATATAAGACTTTCCCAGAATGCGTGACTTCTCACATAAAACGCTGAGAAATGGTTCCGATTGGAAATATCAGCGCACAAAATAGCACACCAACAGGGCCCAATGTTAAGATTGTTCAAGGCATTTTTTTTCATTTCAGCCCGTTTCAGCAATTTTATTTCAGCATTGTTTGAGATTTTGTCTGTCCGGTACTACACCCACCACTTTTGCTAAAAACGATTCGTTTATTGCAGTAATTTTTATAAAAATATTTCAACTTTTCGGGGGGACTAGTTGTAGTCACGTGTGATGGCTTTCGACGATTCATGAAAAATAACAAGCAGAACCTATGAAATACTTGCAAACAGCTTTAATCCCCCCCCCCCCCCCCACAGACGGCCAGCCGATGGAACGGCGAACGGCATGGGAGCCGCACACAGACACAGCACGCAAGATGATAAGCGTTGTGTCTTCCTGCATACGTCCAGCGCAATACATACATAAATAAATGAATAAATACATATCATATACACGTATATATATATATATATATATATATATATATATATATATATATATATGTCTCTATTTATTGGTGTATGTGTGTATGTATGCATGTATGTATGCATGCATGCACATATACACTTATACATACATATATACAAGTATGAATATATACCCATGTATGTATATATGTACGCATGTATATATATATATATATATATATATATATATATGTCTCTATTTATTGGTGTATGTGTGTATGTATGCATGTATGTATGCATGCATGCACATATACACTTATACATACATATATACAAGTATGAATATATACCCATGTATGTATATATGTACGCATGTATATATATATATATATATATATATATATATATATATATGTCTGTGTGCGTGTGTGTGTGTGTGTGTGTAGGTTTGTATGAATATGCGAGCGAGTAGCTTTCCACCACCCTGAACATTTTGCGGCGTATCCAAACAACAGACAACAAACATTTATCATACGTAGAATGAATCCACGACAGTGCAACGGTCCGCTAAGCTTTCAGCGAGAGCATATCATGCCGCCGCTCTTTCGAGCTCCCACCTCACGCGCTCAACAGCCAACCAACTTATTTTCGATGCAGATACCTCAATGGGATCCAGGTGTAGTTGGTTTGCAATGTCATCCATCATGGTCTCCGCCAGAAAGCAGCCCTGCGGCCCGCCGAAGCCGCGGAAGGCCGTGTTGGAGGGTGTGTTGGTGAAGCAGATTTTGCCGTCGATCCGGAACGTCGGCAAACAGTACGCGTTGTCGCAGCTGGTCGTCGCTCGAGATATCACCTGCACATTGGCGCGATATCGAAGTGATTCGAAAAATGGTCTCACGCTGGTTGGGATCCTGCTAAAATCTGTATTGTATGAAGAAAACCGGTGAGGAACAGGGTCTGATCAGCAAGGGCAGGCAAACTAACTGCGCTGATCAATCTAATAGTCCTTCGGAATACCGTCTGGCATTAAATCTCAGCATACAACAATCGACCCGTCGCTCACATGGGGACATCAGAAGCATTCAAAATTTCATCAATCAAAGTGGGTTAAAATAACTTAACTCACTATTACAAGAACTATTCGGACGAATGCCGCAACGTTAAGCGGCTAATCAAGCTGTACTCTTATGGATTTATCGGCCACAACCGTTGAAGGGAGTGTCGCAGAGGGCCACTCCCTGTAACGGTTGCGGGGCAGTAGCTCACCTTTTAGGCATTTAAAAAAACGTGGTTTGGTGAAAGCTCAGGACCAGTAACGCCTATTAATAGTACAGGGCAGTGCACCGCAGCACCACCAACATAAAATGAGGAGATTTATGTCACTTATTTTTTCGTCCAAACTACGACGCAAACGGTTGGTCACAGAACTACACTTCTATATTGGCACCGCAGAGTGTAGCCCTATTCCGCGACAACTGGCACTGTTACGGCTGCCGTCAAAATGACGATGACAGAATCTGCGAAAGGCATCGTCATCTGTTAGGGACGAAAGAAGCCAGTTTTGCGCCGGTTTAACCCGCGCATTGCCGACCTGTGAGCTTAGAAGTTCCATTTCTAATGGTAGAAATCATGTCGATCCAAGTTCGTGATTTGTGATTGGTGTGTGATTTGATTGTGGTTTGTGATTGGAGCAGCGGGGGTCGAAAGCAATTTACAGAGAAGCGTACTGACATTTGGTTTACGTTTGAGCAAGTACACCACAACAGACCATGTGATACTGATGCGCGCTTCGAAAAGGGACATGAGATGAGACCCAATGACATTTCTCCAGTCGGAGCAAGCACTCCAAATAAAAATTTCGAGCTATTCAGACGAATTTTAAAAAACTGGCATTGCCGACCAAATGTAATTTGAATGTAACACTCGCGCCTGATCTAGCAATAAGTGAAAAGTACAAAAAGGTGGCACACTCCCTTTAACTATTCGCAGCCTTTCTGACACTGCTCAGACACGCCCGCGCACTCTTGGCCGAGCCAATGAGCGTGGTAATGGTAATGATGTTTGTAATTTGCTCCTTCTAATAAATGTCTAACTTCTCATTCCTGGGTCGACGCGCTCAATGTGTAACGTTCATACCATGCTGACCCAGGGTCACTCCTTATTGGCTCCGTTTCACAACCTGCAGCGCTCTGCAGAATCGTTGCACGTTGAAACAGTGCCATTGCAATTTAAACTCACCCCCACGGACAAGTCGGCGCTGTAGCCGCCATTAGCGAAGAGCCACATTTCGACTCCGTTCACTTTGCCCTGCCGGGTGACGCCGGCCCGGTAGCGGCCCAGGAATGGGTGTCGGGTGCCGGTGGACGCCATGTCCTCGTCCCTCTCCAAGATGGCCCGCACCGGACGGCCCGACCTGTCGCCAGCGGGACAAAACCGTGACGTCACTGGGTATAGGCCGCGGGAACCGTGACGTCACCGGACACCGCCTGGGAAAGGTGGATTGCGATTGCGCCCACCGGGTGCCGTGGATGTCATGACATGTATTTGAGGTGGCATGAATTGCATGCCAAGCTATAGGGCGCTTACGAAATGCGCGTCAGAGTACACAACTCCGGAATGTTGTCATTCAGTTTGGTTCGGTTAAGACATTTCCTTCCAGTCAATGCCCATAGAAGCAAAGCAACATTTTTCAGAAAACAAACATAAGACCAGACACTTCTAATACCACTTTCGAGCCCCCCCCCCCCCCCCCCCAGCCACATTATTCCCACGCCGATTGCCTTAATAAGCCTGAAAATCATGAATGCTACACATAAATATGCAATATGTCAAGACGATTATTTTACGAGCGTTCTGGAAATATCAAATGAATGCTACTTGAATGCGAGTAAGTATCATGATGATCATTGGAATAGATGGAGGGACAATGACCCACCAGAGACCAAATCGTCCTGGGACCCAAAATAACCAAATCATTGCCAAAGAACTGAACCGCAAGGCCTTAGTGTTTCCATTGCGCTACATGGTGAAAACAAGCATTGGTAAGTGCAACACTGGAGACAACAAAACCTGGTTTGGAAGAATTACACGCTGACCCGTTCCCCATGTGGAGTACTTGGGGCATGCCATTGGTGCCGATCAGATGTTAAGAAGCATCAATGGCCTGGCCAGAGTGGCAGGCACTAGCTATGTAATTGCTCTGTAATTACACAATTATTATGTGCAGAAAACCATATCCAAGTGTGGGAGTCACAGCTGACACCGGGCACAGCACAAGACATACCAAGTTTCATTTACCACCACTGCTAAGAAGGTAGTTCTCTTCATTTCAAGAGATGGATGTAGTTGTAGTTTCCTATTTAGTCGTGGGGGAAGGCGGTTCCAAACCCCCAACAAATTGAGCTCTAGCCTCATCCCAGTTTGAGAAAATAGCGAGCCAAATCCGGGAATAAACTTGCTTTTGGGTATGTTGGTGGTGGGTTGTGACATCCCCCCCCCCCCCACCCCTTCCCCTACAACTCATTTGTCGCCCTGATAACTGGACACTGGCCAAACAAAATTGTGTTAATATTGTTGTTAGGTACATGGCACAGGTTATGTCAGTCTGGGAGACGGGAGAGGCAGGGATGCACATCAATTCACATCGCAGTTGAATGCACACCAAACTGATCCTTACCGACTTTTAAACATAAATTTGAATGTGACCTTCGGGGGCTAAAAACATACAGCTTTTCTTTGTTCGTTGGCAACAGTATGACGTCATTCAGGCAACATGACCCCATTAACGTCAGTGTAGCGAGTACCTGGACGCAATGTGCAGCAGGAGTGATCCCCAATCAATGGAGTAAAATGCATATGTTGCCAGCAGAGCCATTCCATTCAAGTATGTTTTCTTTTAAATCCTGCCACTCAGCCCGTTATTACAGGGCCATGAGAACTCAATGAGTACAAAAAAAAAACATTATCGAGCTTCAGTTCATCACAGGAGAGCTCCAGCCAACTACTGTGTCAAAGCCGGCCGCTGCAAGGAGAAAAGTCGAGTTCCGGCAAGCGACCATGGTGGGAAGGGGGGAGGGGGTACTGGCCACTCCGCAGGTGAACGAGGCCGGCCCTTCCATTCGACGTCCTCCACGCGGCTCCACAAGTACGTCAGGGATGCTTCGCACGAACGCTCTGCGAGTGGCCGCTGTGACAGTTGAGCCATCCGCTACCGCTTCACCTGACCTGTTCGCAGCCACGGCCACCGCCGTCGACAGGCAGAAGGTGCGACTCTCTTTCCCACCGAAGCCGCCGCCCAGGCGCTTCGCCTTGCAGACGATGCGATTGGCGGGAACGCCGAGGGCACGGGCTATGTTCATCTGAGGAGAAATAAAGTTACACGTTGAGCCGCGTGTGTGTTAGCGTCACGTTTTCGAAATCGCTGGTATTATCGCACGTTTGATTACCATATATACTTCTCCACTCGCTGTTATCGCATAGCACCAAGTATTACTGTGCGTGGGGTTTATCAATGTGGCACACCGACAATAAGGTTATGGGTACTGTCTTTTCTATGCGAATAATGTTCCTCGCAAACGCTTACGTAATTTTGTAGACCCAAGGATAGCCATAACAGGCACGAGGGCCATGGCGCTGCCACCACGACCGGTTCGGGCTGCCACATTCGTACGCTGGTGCATTCATCTTCATTGAGGCCTCCCAACGCGCTCAGCTGCTAAGAGTATACGGCGTCGCCTACCTCTCACCCTGACAGGAAGGGCGGAAGCCGCGGGGAGGCACGCCCCGTAGCTCTGGTTTCCCAGGTCCGTGACTTTATCACTACACTGCCGGGACCCATGCAGGCGCATTGTGCCACTACGTGTGCATATGCACGTATCACCCATCACTCATCTGCCAAAGAGACGAAGCATTACAGGCTTGATCCACAAACAGGTCCCACCTCCTAGGATCGTGCTGCTCCTCTCCAGCAGTACCTGAGTTCCTGCGGGGCACTGAGTTGACGCGAACACCTCCATCTCGTTGTCTTCCTTGGGGACAGCGATGCAGCCGACGGGCTCGAGGTAGAAGTGCTCTTGGCCTCCCATCCGCACGGAGCCCTCGACGACGTGCGGGGAGGCAGTGATGGCCGCATCCACGTCCCCATGCTCGTACTGCTGCTGCGGCGCGAAGAACGACTCCTCGCGAAGGGCGTCCTGAGTGGGGAAAACCAGGTACAGGACTTTTACTGAGTGTGTTCTGCTCTGTTCAGCGATAAAAAAACATGAGGGCTTTCACCAAAAGTGTTATTATTGTAATCGATTGGGAAAGCGTTTATTGTCAGCTTACGTCAGAGTGGTATTGTTGTCCTTATATGACAAAGTACCGGAACCACACAAAATCACACACGTCCCATAACCCTGATGAAGTGGCATGTCTTCTTCAGGAGGCATTCAGATAGCTTTTCAGGTTACAAACGTTATGACTACTGTGAGGTTCTAGGGCAAATACGCTACCATATCATGCTATCATTTATCATATCATGCTATCATGTCTCTCCTTTTTAGATTCTGTTCAGCCATCTCGGTTGCTGTATCCGTCATTTACCAGAAGTTGGCGATATCGTTCCTGTTCAACGCACAAGGACTCCCACGTACAACAACGGCGAACTGCGTGACTTGTTGGAGTGTTCCAAATTTGTAGGGGGAGTTTAATTGATACAGTCATTTTGAGGATTATTCCGTCCAGTGCACAGCCCTTCCCTTTCTATGATTTAAAAATCTCAGGTTTGTGAGTTGAACACCCAGTAATTTATGCCAATGTTTCGTGCGGACTATTCTAAGGTCAACCAGGCAAACATAGCATCGAAGAAATGTGACACGAATGCTGTCACCTCATCGGTCATCCTGTGCTCAAGGCCAAGACAAAAAGCACCTGTCATTTAGCGTTTTGTTGCCATTGGGCTTTACGACGCACCCAGCTGCTCAGTCTATATGGCTTCGCCTGCCTCTCGCCCCGGCAGGAAGGGCGGGCACCGCGGGGAATCGAACCCCGTACCTCTGGTTTCCCAGACGCTAGTGGAGCTTTTGGCTCTGCCGTACGTCAGCACAATGTCATGCATCAACGGTCATCAGCTGGCTCTCAACCAATTTTAAACGTTTAGAACAAGGCTCGAATAAGAATAACATTTTTGGGCTATATCGTACAAAAAAATTGGCAGCGGTACAATTTATGACGGAAACAACGAACCTAAACATCGCCCTAATTCGCCGTTTTTTGGCACGAGGACTGATGGGGTGCAGGGGGAGGGGGGTTCTGGCGACATTCCCCTTGCGTTTCCCAACGAATGAAGATAGAGCTCAGTAGAAAACATTAGGGGATTGGCATCAACGAGCTCTCGCAGTTAGTAGTAACAGTTGACCCCATTATGGAGCGTCACGGGTCGAATTTTCCAGAAAATCACATTTTTCAGTTCTAAAACATCATAACTTTGAGGCCTCACGGCAACACCTTCGGGCAACACTTGACTTTAATGAAAGGCATGTTTTTTGTTCAATTCTGAGTGCAGTCCTGCATATGTGTGCGTTTTAGGCGTACATTGTTAAACGGAATATTCCATTTTTATATGGGATTTTGAACTGAAAAGGCCATCTTCAGGACTTTTTGATGCAGCTCACGATTATGCCCTCTTTACGATCCCAAACCATCTGGTTCCTGAGCCATACGCTCGCAAAAGAGGCACAAGGTTTATTGAGGGACTATTCCAAAGCCACCTCCGCAATGATGATGTCATAGAAACGTCATACGATCGCGGTAATATTACAGGCTGTTTCTGCTTATGGTCAAAAACAGCATGGTCGCTGATACGTTCACAAAAGCGATGATGCGGCACACATGATGCAGTCCGCGGAAGGTGATTGGCTGTTGACAACATTTCGCTGCTGAATGCGTGTCGCGGACGTAAGCGTGAGCACTTCTGGGTTGTGTGGCACTCCTCGTCAACGGGGCGTTTTTTCCTTATATCGAGGCCACGGGCCAAAGTTATAAAGAAAGAACGCCACTGTCTGCAGAAAATACGACGCGACGGGAACTCTCTTTTTCTCATGCTGGTTTTTTCTACTCACGTATTTCTTACGGACAGCTCGGCTGACACCGTGTGCACCGGAACAAAGAATCTTGCACGGGTTTATGGGTTACCTAGGCATAATTAAATTAGACAAACATTAGGGTATATATATATATATATATATATATATATATGTATGTATGTATGGCTGAACATTTATATATCTCGCACGAGAAATTTAAATCCTGAGCAAAACAATTGTGGCTTTCAAGGACAACCTCATGACCTGCATTACCATGAACCCCCTTGGGACTTTGTTGGGGAAGGAGCTGACGGTGAAATGCGGCGTTATGACCAGAAACCTGTGCGTAAATTGTGAGAAAACCTGAAATCTGATAGTCCTGTGAGCTGTGCAAATGTGGAATCACACTTATTTTACAAACGAGTGTGAATCAGGGGCTTGAAATAGGTGTGATCACTGGTGGTGCGTGCCAGTGACTTGTATTGATCTTGATGGGATGGGGAGTGTGCGTGCGAGGTTTGCACTTCTGAGAGGTAGCATTGTTTTGACATTTTTTAAGTCTACTACTCCCAATAAAATGTGGTGCATTGATACCTGCCTCTATTTTCATGTTTCTGTGTAAACAGGACAAGGTGGTGATGCTCGTGAACTGAAGTATACATCAGCACCTATGTTGCAGAAGAGTACATAGGCAATTTGTTACTTCATTATGATCCACCCACATTTTGAGCCTACTGAAGCATTACAGCATGTAATCAATCCATTGCATGCCATTATATTTGCAATTCATTTTGGCAGTAGGGGCTGGTCTGCGCAGCTCATTAATGCACATGCTTGGTATACGCTCAAAAGATACAGCTTTGCAGAATTGGCATTTCCTTAGGAATTCTGAATTTTGTATGTAGGCGGGCATCACTTGTGAGTAATCAATGGCATAGTCACTGCAACTTGTGAGATGCTGGGTGCTGCGAAAGGTGGAGAAGTATTGCTGTTGGTTCCTTGGATAACACTTAATGATATTTTTACCATGATACTTGTGTGCATCAGCAGCCTCACCACTTCCCTGCATTTTACCGATCTAACCATAACTACATACACTTGTCATGTCTCCATAGTTGTACAAGGTCAGCAGGTTTGCAGTGCCATTTCACATATAATATTTTCTTGTTATACATGCGTTATTTCTCGCACGAACAACACTTTTGAGTGAAGCAGCCCGCTGACTGCAACATGCTGCATGGCTATGAAAGCGGAAGGCGTGTTTGCGTCTTTGTCACCCATGTTTTTGGATTTTCAAAACCGGCTGAGCAAGTGATGTCACTTATTGGCTGTGCGCTTTGCTGAACGTGATTTTTACATTTGATCATGTGTTTTTGGTCAGTCATATGTCAGATGCACAGTTAATACAAGAATGCATGCTTCACCCATCTTTTCATGATTGAATTGATTATGAATGCAGCGGGGATTACAACACAAAAGCCATATCATTGTTCATTATGCCATGCCGCAGTTTAGCACTGACATAGTGTCGCAATGACACTGTTCACCCGTGCCACTAGACAATGTATCACATTGGTTGACTACTCTAAGTCGACAATACAGCATTCACATTTTCAACAGTCCTTGGCAGGTTTCGGTGCGGGATTCATCAGCCTTCACAGCATATCGCGTTTTGATATTAATAACCTGCCCTAAACGCTGGCGATCGCTACGTTGCCTATGTCAAACAGCCCACCAAAGCTTCTCTCACGACAGGTACCAAGACAAAAAATCCACAAACAAGCCATTCATTAATCCCCGCCCAACACAGCGGCCGCGACGGGAATGGCTTGTTGGCGTCAGCTTTCGTGCGTTTTGAGGCATTCTTTAGGTCAGGTTGCCAGATGCTGCCAGGTATTGCTGTCGTTACAAAACAATTCTATGACGCCATCAAACAATGACGTAGTGGGGCGCATTTTTACAAACTTGGAAATTTGACTAATTGAGTGTAACTAATTTGTAATTTGTAACTAATTGAGTAACTAATTTGAGTGTTTTTTAAAGCTTGAAGGCCTATCAATAGTTACAAGTACGCTTTTTCCCATCATACCTGATGCTTATCTCAATATCTTCAAATGTGGAACATCCTCTTTGACATAGGATGTAAGATAAGATGAGATATCATTGACATAAGAATGTCGGCTCGCCGCGCGAGCTCCGTGGTATCGTCGGTTGGCGCCCACGCCAGTCGTAGATTGCAGTGGAGTGTTTCTTAAAAACCGCCGCTTTTCCGAAATGACAAAAGCTAGGAACACGTTTGTACTGATAAAACACGCGCAAAAGAAACCCCATAGGCTATTGAGCATTTGGGCGCTGCATCCTTCAAAAGCTTAGGGCTAGTCCCCCCTCCCCCTCCTATCATGACGAATGCTACGAATAGTGCCATGGCCCAGCATGGGAATGCAAATCAACAGCGTCGAATTTCGGAAAAGATACAAGAGGACCACAAGAAATAATGAAAACACGCGTACATAACTACATTTGGGTTCGGCAAGCGCGCAAAAACTGGCACGACACCTCTCGACAAGTTGAAGTACTTCAAGTGAGTCAGCCTGTTCACTACGGTGGTAATTTCGAACGGCCAGTCGAATAGACACTGTGATGTCGTACATGCGTTTCGTGACGCAATGAAACGGTATTGCATTTAGCACATATAACTAATTAGTGAAATTTGTTGTTTGTTTGTTGAAATATGTTGGTTGTTTCGATCCGTCCATGAAGGGAATGCTCCACCTTTGAAGATATTAAAGCCTGCACCAGATATGAAATAAGCCTGCCCATACCTATTGACATCCTTAAAAATGAAAACATTACCCCCAAACAACACATTTATATATTTGGGAAATATGCTTCTCCATGCGTCATTTTTTCATTGCGCCAAAAAGCGTTTGTATCACGATGAGGTGTTGTCAAACTAGCCGAGCAAAATTGGAACCCTAGCACTGATATTTAGCATTTTACTCGCCAAAAATAGCATAGCATCACACATTGACGGTAATCGAAGTGTTCGCAGAGTTAAATACCGTTATGTGCTCGTGTTTTCGCCCTTTCTCGTGGTGGTCTTGCATAAGTATCCGTGAGTTCAAGAAGTTTATATGTGGGTTACTAGACAATTCTCAGGGTATTTGAGTAGAAATCTGCTTCCCATAATGACTAGCAACTATGTCTATCTTCTTATCTTATGTAACACATAACGTGATTCATGATTGAAGCTTTCAAGCTTGCCCTGAATGAGAGCCAACTGATATCCACTATCTTTGAAAATGAAATGGTACTGATGGACACCAGCTCTGAATGGCTCGACGATAATATCGTTCTTGTCAACATCACATTGGCCATGGAGTGGCAAATTTGAAGGACGTTGCTATCGCATCATGCATGCCTGATTAGTTGAAATAGTCTGCACAACATAGTCTGCACATCTTCGCGGGCGCATGGATCAGAAACTAGGGAGTTTTAGGCCCTAAGAAGGATAGGGGTGTTAACTGCAGTAAATGATATTCAAAACGTCTCACTTAATTAAATGTCCCATACAATTGTGGAATACTTTCTTTAACACTTAAAAGCAAACCAGCAGTCACAAGTGGGTTTATTTAATCATATCTAATGTTTGCTTCGGTATCTTAAAATCTGAAATCCCTTTGAGGCCTTGACCACATCGCGCTCATAGCGTTCAGACACTTTCACAAAGGATTATGTTGCCAAGCTTTTTTGACTTAAAAACGTTCAGCCTTTGTTTTCTAAGCACACACTTTGATCACAGTACTTTGACTTGATATGCTTCACATATATTTAAAGACATGTTTGTAAAGATGCACAATTTGATAAAATTGCGGCTAACTGGCAACAAACAAGATCATACTTTATTGAACATGTAACAATTCATTTATATATATATATATATATATATATATATATATATATGTATATATAATTTGTATGAACGTTATCGCACATTTAAACGTTTGCAAATATGAACATTAAATGACCATTATGCTTACGGATTTTGTTAGGTCCGCTTTCAGCTCCTGATGACGTAATGGCAGAGCGATTGGCAGACTATGGCAGACTGGATTACAACATTTGCCGGCTGTCTATGTCGTCATGATCCAACCTAGCAAACCAAAAAAACTGTACCCCCGGCACCCATTTACACCTCTACCTTACCTCAATAGTGATGATAGGATGTAACTCCTCGTATGTGACCTTGACCTTTCTGGCAGCACGCTGGGCAGTGGCGCGATCACACGCCAGAACGATGCCGATTATCTGACCCATGGAGGTCACCTTCTCGGCACGGAAAACTTCTTCGTCTAGGAACGCTGGTCCTGTCCTGGAATGGGAGCTTGAGGTTTTTCATCTCAATGGATTCGTACCTTTGTTACTCACTGTGAAATATGACTTTCAAATACAGTATCTAATGATAAATAATGTATTGAGATCTCACTTTGAGTTAGAGCATCCAATAGAAGATAATGCAATCTTTTCAATCAAATTGGCATGTTTTTGAATTTGCTTCCAGAAACTTTAAGATGTTCTTAACCAGTTCAGCCCATGCCCATCGTGATTTTCGCCCCAGAGTGTGTAGTCAAAGAATTACAGAGGCAATGGTCACACAAACTGCGTCGCAGGCGACATTATTTGATTCAACCTTAAGTTGTAAGCACAAACCCCTAACCAAAGCGTAAAGCGTGCAATTAAATTACGATATCATTCCTAGGTTTAGATTTGCCATGCTGGTAAGGTTATCAAGTAAAGTGAGTTTATGCAACTGCCGCTAGACTTGTGTGGTTAAAGCATGAACTTGGGTCATAGCTTTACCAATACGGCTATAATACAGGTGACGCCGTTGAATACGGGTGCACATCGGCACACAGAGCTGCAACACCATGCTGCAGCTCAGGTATGCTCTCAAAGCTCCATTCAATAGCATTACTATCAGTAATATCAGAGAGATAGTTCACCTGTTCTTCTCTGGCTCCAGGTCCTTGGCGCTGATGAAGTGAGTGGCCCCGGGCTCTCGCAGTGCCTTGTCCGCGTCCACGCTGATGATGCGAGCATGGGCGCGACACGAGAGCACCAGTCCCGCGTGCAGCTCGTCCTCCAGGGAGGGAATGTCATCGCAGTACTGGGCCTCGCCCGTGACCTGTTTGAGCGCTGAGACGTGCGTGACTGGCCGACCCACCAGGTCATGCACCGGCTGGTTCTTGGGGACCTGCGGGAGCGACCACGAAGGTTTTCTAGGATTACTCCGCACCCTTATGTATTGTAATAATTTGATGGCTCGTCCTTGGTCTCGGCTATTTCGATAAGCGCATAGCTTATTCCTTAGATTGTGTATATATATATATATATATATATATATATATATATATATATATATATATATATATGTATATATATTTCCATGAACGCAGAGGTCATGAAGAGGCGCCCTCAGCACGCGGGTCACAGCAGGTTAAATCATATGATTTCAATTGTGTTTCAACTCTGATTTAGTAGTCCCCTCACATCCCACACAACATACGAAGACCTTCAGGCAATGGGCTTGCTAAATGCCATAACAATGTGTCGTCACCCAGCCGAGGGCTGATGTCATACATGGTGTTTCAACGTATGATGACGAGTGAGACCAAATAAAACCTTGCTAAAAGCTGTCTGATCCATCTAATTTGAATAGGCCTTTAACAACCAAAAATACCATAGCCAATATTAGCGTACCCCATTTATATAACGGATAATTATGGTACTATTGTAATGCAGAATGCCCCCATGAAGGTTTGGTGCAATTTACACTGAGTCCAGCCTATTTCGTTGAAGTGCCAAACCTGTGCGCCGTTTAATTTCCGTATAGTAAAAAAAAAACAAAGACAGTTTTGCATCCGACAGCATTCCCACCTGCAACGTATAAATAACCAACCACTTGGAAGAGCTGAGAGGAGGCCGGTGCCGGCCTGTGGAACGTCTCCAGCACGGAGGCGTTCTCCTTGTCCAGCTTCCCCGTCAGCCAGGCAGTCGTCTGCAGGAAGAACTTGAAGAAGAAGCTGATGGTGAGCGTCCGCCGGTACTCGACCATGCCTCCCGGAGCGCTGGCGTCCAGCGGAAGATCCTCCAGCAAGAGGTCAATGGCGCTGTTCAGCAGCGATTCGTCCCAGGTCCTGCCGTCACGTGCGCAACGCCTATTCAGGGAGTGAACGATTTGCTGAGGCGCAGTGAACGAAGCGCGTTTTGGTTGTTGTTGTATAATCCTATGGCGTTCTTTTCTACTCGCTTGAGCGTGCTTCGTATAACTAGTATGTCAGCTCACTCGCCGAAAGGTCAGTGCCGCGTCACATAACCCTAAGAAGTTCCACTACTGTCCACTATTGTGATTCGTCCTAGGTTCTGTCGTCACATGGCAACGCCTATTCAAAGAGTGTACGGTTTGCTGAAGCGCAGTGAACGAAGCGCGTCTTGGTTATTGTTGTATAATCCTAAAGTGTTCTTTTCTATTCAGTTAAGCGTACTTTGTTTAACTAGCAGGTGAGCTCACTCGCTGAAAGGTCAGTGCTGCGTCACATGGTCATAAGAAGCTCCGCTACTGTCTTATCTATGTCGAGAAAATAGTGGCAATTGCAAATGGCATCTTGTAGAAAGTATATCCCACCCCTCATTCGTGGAAAGGCCAGTACTGTGTCACACGACTCTAAGAAGTTTCACTGCTGTCTAACATTTGTAGAAAAAACAGTGACAATTCCAAATGATGTCTAGTAAAAAGTAAATCGCACTGGCATCATCTTGTTTGGGCACAGCGTACACCACTGCGCAGAACTAAGCGTGTTACAGCAAGTACGACAATATTTGTCTGATTATCTTCGCACCATAATCAACTGGTTTATGTGTGGGAGGATGACGATCATAACATGCGTGCCACTATGTGGACGCGTCTATCGCGTGTCTAATTCCCGTGAAAACAGTTGGCGTCCTGAGCAAGTGAGTGACGTGAATTACATGCCGGAGTGCGCTCAAATCGAGATCCAAGACGGCTTTCTGATCGAAAAGTAAGTCATGCATGGGACACAAATGTCACCGTGAAACATTCCAGACGTAGCAGACCTCCCAAACGCTTCGGCGCATCATAGTTATGTATCTAACATATATATATATATATATATATATATATATATATATATATATATATATATATATATATATATATATATATATATATATGGTAGGCAGGACGCTAACGCGCTACGTGCATATTACTAGCAGAAAAACGCTGCAAGCAATAAAGCACCGCCAGTCCACGGTACTTGAAAAAAATACAAAGGTGAGCAAGGATATAAATATCAAATCAACATGTTTATGCTCTTTTTCTTTAACATAATGTCAAACGTGACTCGAGGGGATATTAAAGAAAAAAAATATAAAATATACATTGCATCATATTTATACCAGAAATATGCTGCACAGGCGATAGTTGTCGAAAACATAACGCATTCAGCAACAGTGTTCATAGGGAGGTGCGCGGTCCATTGCCTGGAGTATTTACGCATGTCAGATGAAACTAACAAAACGGCCCTTTGAACAGCCTATTGCAGATAGCGTCCGTTATATCAAAATGTGACAGAGAGAATGTTAGCGTCGGTTAGAGACGCCACTGGTGGTAAGGTCGCACGCACATTCTAAGCCATATGCTGCTATTTCCCGCCTGTTTGCCCGTTGCTGAACGCCCAACACGGTGAAATGTTCGCTCACGTCCACGTCCATAATTTTGTAATGAACAGCAAAAAGGAAGAATCCCGGGATAAAAATCACCCCATTCGTATATAACTGCTTCAAGTAGCTACGTACGCTATGATCATGTGCATGCGCGTGGCCAGATTTCTTGGTACTTGCCCTGCATTTACCAACACACCTGCCAATCAAGGCCTGTTCGGTCTTCGTGGCCGACGCGGCAGTCGGCGCCATTCCTCCGTAGGTTGCGCGGAACGTTTCGACCGTCTCTCCGCGCATGCGCACAAATATGCCCGCGTTGACGATGGCAATGTCGTCATCTCTGCGATGTGCCTGCTTGTAGCCCATGAAGAACTCATTCTGAAAAAAAACAGGATGATGAATTGCACAATTTGTCATGACGTGCAACGAGTTTCTTTAAACGCCCTTGTCGACGAACAGCTAGTACCAACTTCTCAAACATGTAATTCAAATAACGGCAAATAATGCTCTTGCACTTAACGACATGCAACGTGATAACGCAAACATTGGACTGCAAAGCATGGGGTTATTTCACATTTGTTTGATACTTTGAACAAACAAAAAAAGGAGGAAAAAAGTGCTCCACGTATACACAAACCTAAGAGCCTAGAACATTGCAGTTTTATAAGCTTGAATGCGGTATATACGAGCTCCCTAACGTAAGTATTCACCTCAAAAGTCACATAGTCATAAAAACTGATGCCGACCATCCACTGAAGACCGCAATGGATCGCGTGCAGCGCTAATTGGCGGGAGGAAGACAATGCGCCAGCATGATGCACCCGGGCAACATTGGCGTTGGCGAAAGGCTACTTCTAGCACTATTTCACAAGCACAAACCACATGTCGATGTCACGCGAACTATGTTTTTGATCACATAGACTTTGTTATGACAGTCTCTAGACGTCAAGCACCGCATTCAGTGTTTAGGCAATATTTCTTTAAGTCCTGCACCCTAACACAGCCGTGCAGTATGATGGCCGGTGGTCACAAACCAAAGACTTTAAGCATTGTGTGGCAATATGCCACTTTATCTCGCAAAGCAGACTGCAGCTGCTTCTCTAGTGCTCAACTTGCACTGTACAATTTCCCTTAGTTTCCATAGGTACGTGTGGACGTCATGTTTCACATATGTTCGCCGTTAACATAAAACTGCCGAGAAGCCAAACTTACGTGCGTCGAACGCTACACTCACTCATGCCCGGAAGGGCGAGAAGTGTCGCACTGTGATGTGTGATGTCGACGTCATACGCGTAGTGTTACATCAGGATCTGTCATTGGCTCACCTCTGCTGTGAAAGGCACGGTCACAGACAGCAGAACCTCGTCCGGCTGGGCCACGTTCCTCCGGTAGCTCGTGTAGAAGCCACGAATAGGGACCGTCCTTCTCTTTCCTGATGACGTCACCAGGGTCAGCTGACTGTCGGCTGACATCAGCAAGGGCACCAGGTCCGATATCGGGCTGCCGGTCATGATGTTGCCACCGATCGCCTGCATCGCAAAGCAAAACATGAATGGTGAATATTAGTTACGTCATGCACTGGCCTGTTCTGGCGCTTTAGTATGACATAAATGAAGAACACCGTAGTGCACTGTAAGGGCAATGCGGCTTATCCAAGAAGTAGCAAATGCCGACAAACTCGGATAGACCCTGAACCTCCATTGTCAGCGAGTGATGGGTGCTGACTGTGTTTCTAGAGATTTCAGGTCACATAGCACTCCATTCAAAAAGTTTGATACGAGATGACTGATGTATGGACCAATGTATTTAATTCCACATGTTTTTGTTTCCGTCCGGGTAGATGTTACATACTTAACTACACTCCCGGATATCATAGTGTGCAGCCAGCGCGACGCTCTTCAGTTGAAGCATGTCATGTCTCGAAACACATTTGTCTTCGTCGCTCTTTGACAAATACGTGATGTGTGAAACTAACTTGACCGAGTTTCACTCCCAGGCATTCACAAAACAACGGACTATCAAAATACTCCACGATTCAAGACGAGGGCGCAATAGCTTCATTTCAGGCTTTCATGGAATAATTTTGACCCTTTTTGGGGGCGGCTGCTCTACTTTGTTAGTATGATTTATGCGGTTGTATGGAGTGTCTGGTTTTGAACAAAATATGTTTTTTTGTGGCATACAGGTTTAGTTATCAGGTGCGTCACGTCAGGTGCGTGCGTGCTGTCTTCGTTTTGCATTTTGTAAAAGTTACTTTTAAATTGCAAAATTGGTGAGCTGTAATGTTTAGAAAACAGATGGGTGTTGTTCGAAAACGGTGATAAACAGCACGCCTTTTATAAGTTGTCTGATCTTGACGCTACACGAAAACGATCAGCACAATGCATAGCTGGTCGTGATGCTGGACAGAGTTCACGTTCGTGTTAGGCGCACTGTCCCAATTTTTGTGGCTACACAGCTGGCTCTGTACCGGCTTCGCTGCATTTGTGAGAACAGCTGTGTCACAGGAGTAACAGTTTACTCACGGATACGTTGCGAATCTGAGTTCCAGCGAACCAGCGTAGCATCTCCGTGATCGCAGAGAACACTCGAGTCTTCCAATCTGCAGGACGGAGAACACATATCATCCAGGGATAATGAACGCGTGGTTGCACAACTCCAGCATCCCTGCCCACTAAATATGCAGCTCAAATTTTTAACCGCAAAAATAAACTGCGTATATGCTCCCACTTATCACCCAAATTTGTACAGCAGGATTTTACGCTGCGCTCACCAGATCATTCAGATATCAGACCAGATAACAATCAGATAATTTCAGTGAGCCTTAACACGTGCTCGGGTGGGGGTCAAATTGAACCCCACCCCCCGAAGGTTTTTCCAGAATAGTTTCCGAACGGCGCAGTGTAGCCGCGCCAAATTTTGCATAGCTGTAGACAATTAGATAGCGGATCGCTTAACATAAAACAAATTAAATGTACCTTGTAAGGTCGCTGACCCACGGCAGGTCAAAGTCAGGCGATGGTTTTATCGAAGGCAATTTCCAGGGAATCGTTCAATCTGATGCAACAACAGAGTATTACACGAAGCCACACATCTCTGAGATGCTTTCTCAGGCACCAAAAATATTGAATGAGCAAATAACGTTGACCTAAGGTAAGGTATGAAGGTCAGGCCAATGTCAAAACCAACCTGGTTTATTACTCTGGGGCTTGCTGTATGGGATAGTTTCTGGTGCTCGATTCGAATGTATTGAGAACAGGAACCGCATTATACATCTTCCATCGACTTCTTAGAGATCAGAACAGGTCATTGATCTAAGATGACCCGGGTCGACATTTTGTTATAGGAACATATCGCCTGGCGTAATCTTTGTCAATTATTAAAATGCAAATCTCGGATTAGTCTTGTATGATTTTGGTCACCATGACCTTCAAAAGGTCAAACAAGGTCACTGACCTCAAATAGGATTGTGAACTTTGCTTAGAAACAGTTGCCTAGGTTCTGGGGACACTTCGGAAACCAACCTCGACTATGACCTTGTTTGACCTTATTGAACCCGAAGGTCATGACCAAGGAAGCTCAAACATTGACATAAGTGAGTTCACGTACAGATCAAGACACCCTGTAAATTTGGGGTCTGTAGCTTTCTTAGTTCCCGAGATCTCAGGGGGGAGACCAAATTGACCCCCACGCGAGCGAAGGGTATCTAGCCGGCCACCCGGGCGCGTGTTCAAGTTTTTTACATGTATTTTTACCACTCCGAAACGTTAAGTTACATACATAAGATCATAGACACGCTCTGCCAAATACCCTTCCATCGAAAAGCAGCCTAAGTCATGACATATTGCATTCTTTCATCTTTCATGATGCACATTTATTCGAAACTCTGACATATTTAAAGAAACCATTAATAGTATATGTGTGCTGAGGTTCGCAATCACTGCGTTATCACCTTGCTCTTGGGAGTATATTAATGACACGACAGCAACATCTTCTCTTTACCTTGAAAGGGCTTACCGATAATATAAATGTCCTTTTATGCATATTTTGTTGCGTTCTACATGTTTGTAGAACGCAACAAGATATTCTTAGATGATTATCGTTCTACAACATAAACAGATTTCATAGAAACAGGTTCGAAACAGAAACAGAAACGGAAACAGGTTCGCAGCACATTATTCTCTTTCTACTTTTTTGTCTTGGACGGCATAAAATGGCTTTCCAGTCCAAACAAATTTTTATTAACTGAAAATTTGTCGCTTTTGCGTTTTTGATCTTCGGTCTTCAAGGCATGCAGCAAAAATAACACCATGAAAACAGCACGATTGCACATAATCGTTACGCAGTGCACACGCTAAAGTCAAAACTTCGCAGGATTGTTGTACCCTTGATATATACTCCGGCAAAGGTAAGCCAAAATGAATTAGGAAAGACTTAGTACGCAAGACTTTAATCACGCACTTGTCAAATGAACGTAAGACAGCTTAGATATTAGGCACCCAACCAAATCTGATTTTGAGCCGACCGCTATCCAATGGGGTGCTTTATTGTTTGCAGCGTTCTTCTGCTAGGAATATGCAGGTAGCGCGTTAGCGTCCTGCCTATCCTGTATATACAAACATATATATGTATATATATATATATATATATATACACACATATATATATATATATATACAGGTAAATGTATGTGCATATGTATGTGTATATATATACACAGGTATATGTATATGTATATATGCATATGCATGCATGTATACATATCAGATACACAATTATGATGTGCAGAAGCGTTTAGGAAATCTGCTACATCTGGAAGCTTAAAGTGTCTCACGACAGCCTTCCAAACACACCTATATATGAATACCATAACTGAACCATTGTTACCACGACTCTGAAATTTGCAACATTCTTGCGAAACTAGCTGTTATGACATAACGAGCTGCATCGTCCTGAAGAAGACAGTACAAACGCCACTCACGTAAATAAGGTTCAGCTTTTTGTGACACGATGAACGATAGTTCAAAACGTTATGTTGCGGACAACTACCGACGAATGCCAGGAACAAACCACTCATATGATGGTTGAAAAATGTTGAAGTATATGTGAAACTAGTCTTTTTATAAACTCGTGAGCGTTGGCGAAATTCGGAGCAGGAACAGATGTTGTTTCAAGAATAGGACCAGTTCTTGCCACACAGAAAATCCCGCGTGAAACGCACCGGGGTGCTGGCTGATAGCTGTGTGCAGCTCTTGCTCGATGTCAGAGAGAGTTGAAGCGGCGCCGAAGGTCACGCCCGCCTGGTCCCAGGTCACAGAGGTCAGCTCCTGTACCTGACTGGGGTTGATGATGACCGGATACTCGCAGTGCTTGAACTTGACCTCCACCCCTGCCAACATTGCGCGCGGATAATGCGTCAAGATGCTTGTATGATTGTGGCCGTGCTGTAAACCGGAATTTAAGAACATGCGGCACTACAGTTCAGCCTTCGTAATGCATCTCCTCACCGACTTCGGTGTTGCCGTTGACGAGCTTGGCCTCTGGATGGGTGGCCTTGAGGTCAAGGAGCTCCTGGAGAGAGGCTGGTCTGTACCAGGTCACCCTGGGACCGACAAATCGCATAGACTGGGTCGCCCACTCTGGCTGCAGCTGGAAAGAGCAACAAGTTATTGATATTTCACGTAATTTGCATTCGCAGGAAGCTGAGCCGTCTCTTGCCGATTCATATGACTGTGATGAGCTAATGTGACTCCGATAAGTCGCAAAACGGCTTCAACTAGAACCCTGAAATTTGCCTTGCATTCTAGGAGATTAATTTCACTGGTACTTAAAACAAAAATGGAAGCTCATTTCGTGTCAGGTCAGGGACATAACATTGGTTTAGTTTCAGCGTGCCAGGCCAAAACGCGGACAAACTTCAGGTGTTCTAGTATTACACTGTAGTGTGGTCTTCCTGTGGTCTGCATAGTTTTTTTTATTTAATGACGGCACTATTCAGCCTTCCAACGACATATTTCAGGCACGATAGGTCACTGACCCAACTGTCACAAGCACTCAACGTCTTTGTGCATTATTTTATGGCTGTGAATCCCATACACAGAAGAGATGCTGGGCGTTTACGTGCGCGATTGCAACACTGCATACATCTAGGATAGCTGATCATGTACTACCGAGCGCTACCGACTACTGATTGTGTCAGTTTACCATAAGCTCCGGTGGAAAGATAGCCTCTTGGGTCGGATCGTATGGTGAAAACTTGTGACTGTCTACTAGATCCGTTCCAACCCGTTCCTCCTCTAAGTACACTCCGTTCTCTGGCATTCCACTGCTGGCGTCTCCGCAGCCGTTCTCTTGTCCGTTCAGTTGGCAGCAGTTTTTGGCGCCGCAACCTTTGAATTCGCTCGTGAGCGTTTTGAACCCATCCAAAATCGCTCTGTAGCCCGTGCATCTGCACAGATTGCCTGCCGTGACAAAAAAAAACACACATGTCACATACCTGGTTTGCCACCAGGAAATATTTTAACACTTTTTCGTTTACTCTGCTAACTAAAAAACATATTACAGGTGCTACGACCGGCCAACATCCCATTGAACAAGTTCAGGTAAACGGACACTTTAATAAACTTCTTTGCACAAAAACGCATCACTAGCCGTCGACAGGGTTTAGACGGAAACTATATTTGGACACAAGGCATGGCACACCCTGGATGACATTTTTCTGACATTGTTTCTTTGAAAAGCTCGCCATCAACACATCCTGCCACGGACTAACAGTAGTATGGGATATATTACAATGGCGCTGGCTTCATGAGCGCCACAGCTGTCTCTGGAGGAGGGGAGACGCTCTCATTCGTGCTCTGGGATTTCTGGCAGTATGGCGATTGCAAGCATTTCGAGCCAGCCTGTGTAACCCGTTGAGTGCTTCAGGACGAATGATACACGATACACACGCAATTTGAGCCACTGTTTGTAAGCGCCGAAGTCGTATATTTACATATGCAAAGCTCGATTGATAGTGTCGGCGTACCTTGCATGTAGGTCTCGATGTCTTGCATGTCGGGCAGCGGTTTGTTGCGCAGCAGCGTGTACATGGACATGACGATGCCGGGGGTGCAGAAGCCGCACTGCGAGCCGTGAGACTTGGCCAGACGCTCCTGAAGTGACAAGCAGCACACAGTCGCACTGTATATCACGTTTGGCTGGCGTATCACGTATCCCTCCTCACTTGCGTTTATGTGCCGATCACAATACATAGTGTTTCAAAAGAAGGAGTTGGGAGCAACCGGTGAAGTCGTCTCAAAGATCCCACCAAACGCTAGGGAGTAAGGACCTTTTGGCTGCGATGTAGCCATTTTCATACCTCTTCATCTGAGCATGCATCGTAGCGTACTGCTGTTATGCAGTACGCTACGTACGTTCTCGTAACAGGAGCACATGCTGCTGGTACGAGTAGGTAATACAGGTTTCACGTTAAAGTGAAAGCGTCGCAGCAGTGTATCGGCGCTAAGTGTGAAACGATTTCGAAAAGAAAAGGCCGTATGTATCATTAGTCTGTCCACCACTTTGAGACTAATGTTTTTCATTTGCCTGCCTTTTCCAACGTGTGTGCTCGGCAATGTTGGCAACGCAATCATTCGTAAAGGGCTTGGACAGCAAATGCTACAAATTTTTACAACATTCGTCTAAGGAAAAAAACATAAATATGAGCCTTTATAACATGTAGCTTACGAACCGCTAAATTATGGCCTTCGTTTTTCCGGCGTTTGTTGGCGTTTAGCGCGGTGACTCTTCTCGAAGCGCACTTTAACTTGGGGAAACACATATCGCATGCTCTATAGTGGTGCACTGCGACACATTATAGTTCGAACTGTTAAAACAACTGCCGTCAGCATGACGACGGTAGTCGCGACTACTGCAGTTGTAGCGGACCAGATCTATACTCTGAGGCTTCCAAGGAAGAAAACAGTGTGATCCTTGTTGTATTTTGATGGTGTTTTATTGACACCAGCCAGCGCTATTATTAAACGTAACTGGTCCCGAGTTTTTCCTAGACAATGTTTTAGAAATATGCCCCAAAGGTACGACACTTTCTTTAATATGGGTCGCGTTGGGGCCATGGTGTCGCAGCTCTAGGCTTTCTGAACTCAGTCTCTTCTTAATTGCCACACCTAGTTTTTACGTTCGTGCTGAGCGAGCCATCTCCGACATAATTGCTGTGCCAAACGCGCCTTCCCTCGTTCATACGGTGCATATAAATGGGGCATCTCCAATGAACTGAAGCAGTCTCTTCTAGGCCCTCTCTCAACACAGCTTTGCACTTCTCACAGGCGAGGGGACCGGAAGCCGCAGTCTGCAGTGTTGCCCACGCAGCGCTGCGTGGGCAACACTCCATAACATAACTTCTTTCGCGCAGCGTTGACGGCCAAGCGCCGTGCACACCCAGTTTCTTTGGTGCTGTTTCGTCACCTTTCGTTAACTCGCGAGGAGCTGTTGTGACTAGAAACTCCAGGGTCCCCTATTTCATTCTCGTCCGTCCCCACACCTGGTCGGTGCGTCCGCTCCGGGGGCGCCATATTCGACACATTTGCGGAGTATAATTTGGAAAACCTTGGCTCACCTGAATGCATCTAAACATGCTCCGCCAATAAATTGGAATGACCCGTCAAAGTCCCCATGTCACTCAACGCCCCCTCCCCCCAAACTTTTTCCATCAGGACTAATATAGCGGTACCATCCGTCATTGCGCTAGGGCAGCTCGCTACCACACTCCCAGATGAACGAAAATGCGTGAAACCGACAAGATTTACACCATTCTAAGACCAAAGTTGTTAATGTGAGTCAGCGACCTCCGAGATACGAGTGCGGGCTCCATATTTCCTTCTCCTGCGCCGGATACCTGGCTTGCGGAGCCCTCTTTGAGAAAGAAGGGTGCGAAGTAATTAAACGGAACTGTCCGAACGCTTAGGCCAGCCAAACAGTGTGCGGACACCGTTGGCGCCACTGCGGGGCAATGATAAAAAGGGAAGGGGAATAAACCGCATGAGCAGACAGCATATCGGTTGGATCAAACAATTCCCCACAATTCCGAAAAGATGCGTACATCGTTCTTAAAGGGAATGCTCCACATTTGAAGAATTGAAGCAAGCATCAGATGTGATGAAGTAAGCTCGCTTATAACTGATGGCACATTTCTAACAGGAAAAGACTGCTCCAGACAACACAATTTCGTTGAGTAGTAAATACACCCTCAATATGTCATTGTTTCAATGGGTCATCGTACTATGCGCATTGACTGAGAGCCAGTTGACCTAGCAGGATTTTATTCCAGATTTTGGCTTTGATTCCTGGTCACCTGTCCAACACAGAGTCGTGTCTAAGAAGGATGAAGGACAAGTTTCCGACCAAGCTTTCTCCAAGATAAGATCATGTTTGCCATGGCTATTACAAGTAGGTACGGAGACACTCCCACAAAGAAAGGCATATGCTCGGTAATAGGTCTAATCGAGGAAAAACCGGATAGCATGTGTTCTTTTGGGATTAGAGTAGTCGTCTGCGCCAAGGTAACAGGCAGTTAAGAGAAAAAAGTAAGGAAAAATACAACTAATCTAGTAAAATAGTGTAATAAAAAGTAATATAATAAAAACTGATCTGGTGCGTTTCCGGAACTCGATGTGCACACAAACGAAGTGAGCGACGATGGAACCGCTGTGCGCCGCCGCAAGCGACAGCCTTGACGCACTGTGTTGAGTCATCCTTTCTAGCTAAATGCGGTCTAAGACCAAAATTGTACTTACGTCACATCCACGACATCTTTGGCATCTGGACCCACGGGTTGAGCTCGCTGCTAGACTTCTTTGCAAACATCAAGCAGGACTGTCCCAGATTTCGTTCACACCGGAGCACACCACACAGAACTCGTTGATTCAGTTCCTCAACACTATTTGGGTGGTGCAACTCGATGGTAGCTATGCCGCAGAACTTTTTTAAGCTCATAGCCTACATTGTTATAGCTTATTATCCTACATTACAATCCGGCCCATCCATTGTCTACTAAAATAGCGGTTCATATTCTGTAACCTTTGCCTAGGGATGTTTTATGTCGGGGAAACAAAGCTTAACATTCGTGGCCGGTTTGGTGAACACATTGGAGACGCATGTTTACGGACAGCGTACATGTCAGTAGTAGATCACATGGTAGACCGACACAACGCAATGAGATACGGCGCATCACACACCAATTTTAAAATACAAATTTCAACAACATAAGACCATAAGACACCACAAGACAATGAAAACCTCAAGGTCTTGGAATAACTGCGCATTCGGAACATTTATCCTAGGATGCACAGACAACCTTCATCATGGGATCTGGCTTTAACAACATTTCCAGATTATGCAAGTTCCTGAGATTCAGGCAAGGTTCGTATGGACCGGAAACGGTGTGCAATGTTCTTCTCTACTACTGCTATTTATTGAATCTGAAATTATTAATCTAATCTAATGTTCTTCTCTAATTTGATTCCCTAATATTTTTATCTGACTTTGCGAACTTTCGGCCTAGCCGGCCGCGTTGTTTTTTGCCTTTAACGTGTAACTGTATATGGGGTGTTAAATGATACATTTTTTTTGACATGTTTTAGTGACAATGTCTGCGTAGGTTGGTAGTGTTTTCTGGATTCACGTATCTTCCTTTTTAAATGAAACATATAGCTAAACCTTTCTGAGCTCTTGACGTTCTTGAAGGTGAACACAGCTAAGACTGTGTTCCGTCAATGTAATTGCTATTTATATCACAACGCCTTTTAACCAGCGCCTCCTGGTATATTGAAGATCGTTGGCTAAACAATATAACTTTGAATCCTTTTTGCCAAAAACACAGGAGCTGACTGCCTTTCTTTCTTATCTCAATATTTCCACCGTTGAGTCTTTTAGGGCTGAAAGTTTTTTGGCACTCGAAGAAGTAGTGTTACGGCACAACTCGTCGACCATTTTGGAGATACAGATGAGCAAACGCTTTCGGAAGAAGGAGTGTTTCTGTCTGGTATTACTGCACACAACCCAGTTTGTTTACATGCAGTATCCTTTGCTTTGCAGCAACATGCTATCACAGCACTAGTTCGGTTAACACATTCATCGTGATGTGCAGCAATAGCCGCACATTTGTTGTTAATGCATTAATAGAAACACCAGCACAATCAAACACATATTGGTGAGATGCAAAGTTCAGTGCAGCCGAGGACCGACCTGGACTGGGTGTAGGCGGGTCTTGGAGCTGCCGATCCCCTCCACGGTGGTGATGGCCAGGCCGTGGGCGGCGCACAGCGGCATCAGGCAAGCGTTCACTGACAGATGACTGATATGATTCAGCTAAGGATCACCGACACACAATACACTGACTTGACACATTGGTTAACACGGCTGACATGATTCAGCTAAGGAATACTGACCCAAGGCAGGTTTCTGACATGATTCAGCAAAGGATCACTGACATGCGGCACATCGACTGACACCATGATTGACATGACTGACATGATTCGGCTAAGGATTACTGACCCAAGACAGGTGACTGACATGATTC